CATGGCCATTTCCACTGATCATAATTCCATTGTTGAGGTCTACTAGAATAGATTTATATTGTGCAATTTTCCAAACTCACATTGTTTTCTCATACAGCATCTCTGTCAACTACGTGTATTCACTGAATTTCACTCTCTGCCTTTAACGGCTCGTTGTAGCTCCAATAGCTCCAGCCCCCACCCTCCCTGTGAGCACAGTGTGCTCTGATTGGTCGGGACGTTGTGAATCGCGCTGAGCTCCGTGGAGGTGTTGTTTCCTTGTTTAGGATACATAGCCAAACACAGCCAAACTCATCCTGAGCACACACAAACTCACAGCCGAAGTAAAAACAATAAGTGTGGCTTGATATTGAGTAAGAAAAAGGTTGATAAACGCTGTGAGAATGGGTCTGCAGAGAGAATGGGTCTGCAGAGAGAATGGGTCTGCAGAGAGAATGGGTCTGCAGAGAGAATGGGTCTGCAGAGAGAATGGGTCTGCAGAGAGAAAGGGTCTGCAGAGAGAAAGGGTCTGCAGAGAGAATGGGTCTGCAGAGAGAATGGGTCTGCAGAGAGAATGGGTCTGCAGAGAGAAAGGGTCTGCAGAGAGAAAGGGTCTGCAGAGAGAATGGGTCTGCAGAGAGAATGGGTCTGCAGAGAGAATGGGTCTGCAGAGAGAATGCGTCTGCAGAGAGAATGGGTCTGCAGAGAGAAAGGGTCTGCAAAGAGAAAGGGTCTGCAGAGAGAATGGGTCTGCTGAGAGAATGGGTCTGCAGAGAGAATGGGTCTGCAGAGAGAATGGGTCTGCAGAGAGAATGAGAATGGGTCTGCAGAGAGAAAGGGTCTGTAGAGAGAATGGGTCTGCAGAGAGAATGGGTCTGCAGAGAGAATGGGTCTGCAGAGAGAATGGGTCTGCAGAGAGAATGGGTCAGCAGAGAGAATGGGTCAGCAGAGAGAATGGGTCTGCAGAGAGAATGGGTCTGCAGAGAGAATGGGTCTGCAGAGAGAATCTCGCCGCGATCCCAACTGTCTGTTATCAGCCTGCAGCCAGGGAGGAGAAATCAGCAGAGCTCCCTGCTCCCTGCACACAGATGTGTGTGTGAGAAAGTCCGTGGATTGGTCAATTTGGACCAATCAGCGGGGGCTTAACGTAGCGGCTCCACGGATTGGTCCATTTTGTTCCGGGTACGGCATGACATCATGCCGTACCCGGAACAAAATGGAAGAATCAAATGGACAATGACGTATCTCCAACGAGGCGTTTTGGGGAGGTATTTTCTGTGTTAGAGTTTTACTCGCTACAGGGTGTACTTTGAGGGTTTGTGACTCTGCACACCGTTTACATGCAGAAAAACCTTCATAACACACAAGGGGACGGGTAATAACCGGAAAAGCATGACATGGGCCCTTTAAGTGCTCTTTTTGGTGTGAACGCGACATAAGGGGTACTAACGGAACTAAACGCGAAAAGTACGGTGAAAAATACTCCGGTGTGAACGCGGCTATTAAAGATATCTGTAGAAAACAGAAAAGTGCAGCAGCAAGAATTAGACAGGATCCGGTTGATCATCTGGATTGCTTCTTATTCAAAATTCACATAGTTACATTCAAATAGCTGTACTTTACAAACATATCACATTTCTCCATTTAAGTTATCCGTCTATGTTACAGTCAATTACTGCATCTCAAATGCACCATCATTCCCAACTCAAACATGTATCTCCCTCACTAGTATATGACACAGTTTTATACTTCTCAAAACATTTTGTATAACATCACATGTGCAATAGCAAAGCAGGGCTACTATAATATGTAGTGCAATGAACAGTAATACTCACTGTATAAAGGGCAAATGTCTAATCTGCACACACTGGGAAAATTACACTTAATTTATACAAAGCTGTTACTCAGGGAGAAATTCAACATAGTCAATATAAACACATAAAGCTATCAAATAATACTTTCTATCAATATATATCTTTAACAAATATAACATATTATTTTACAATTCACAATGACAACTGTAAGTTTAACTGTTTAGTTTATAAAGCATTCAATGAAAGACTCATTATTATAGGTGTAGGAGCTCACATAAATACACTGTCAGTGTTAATAAACAAAAAAGAGGTGATGTCACTCAGGTGAACAAAACATACTACCCGTGCGCAGCGAGTAGTATGAAGCAACTAGGGTCCTGAGAGTGCATGCGGTCCTGAGAGTGCACCCTCCTCCGAGGCTGCAGCTTCATACTATTGTGCGCAGCAGCTAACCTGCCTGCGAGCCTTCGCTCAGGTCACATTTACACACGGCGCGGCTGAAGCCCGCGAAAACGGCATCCATAGTTGCCGACAGTTTAGTATTTTTAAAGTACCGTTACTATGTCAAACATGCTCAAAACTTTCTGACACACTCTCTTAAACATCTCTAACATTATATCTCATTTACACAAGTTAACATCGATCATTTTCATCATGTACTGACCTGTAGAAAACAGAAAAGTGCAGCAGCAAGAATTAGACACAGGATCCGGTTGATCGTCTGGATAGAGAGGCAAAGTCCCTCCCCTTCCGGTGGGACTCATGGGACCTTGGGTGTTTCTCAATCGCGAGTAAAGCTGCTGCAGAGCCACTATTTCAAGCATACTACGTCAGTGTACGTCAGAGTGCCGCCGAAGGACTGTTCCAATCTCCAGCATACTTGGAAATCTACCGAGCCCGGCGTACTCCGTTTGGAGAAATATCGAGGCTGCACATGAGTAGACTCCGCGGTCTTAAAATCCCCACAATGCTTTGCGCACGGACCAATTTCCCCAAATCTGTGGCGGAAGATGTAAGGCAGGGCCTCTCATATGACGCACACCTGCACACTTGCTAGCGTGTTCCACTCTTTGTTTTCCGAATGCCAGGAAGTATTCTTGCCTCGCTTCTGAAGCAAGATGCTCGGCAGACATGTGCTACCAAGCAAGCGTACTCGTGGTTGAGAAACACCCCTTATTTCGGAAAAAGTTTGTATTGAAGTCAATGGAGAGAGAAAGATTATCTTTCGATCCCGTTTGAATTGTGCCACGAATTACACATATGATGTTTGTCAATCTTAAATAATAATTTCCATGCCAAAAAAGTCACAGTTTGTCGTAAAACTGTTGAAATATAAGACTATGAAAAATACGCAACTAGAAAGACTACAAATCCCAGAATCCCGGTCCCGCATGCTGGCTCTTAGGAACCGACTAACTCCCCTTGTGTGTATGTACAGCTCTCAACATGCCCAGACTTGGAGTGATTTTCACCTCTTTTAATACTTTTCGCCTCATTCTGAAAGAAAGAAGTGAAATGTGCCAACGTGACGGCCGTCTTGGTGTGTGGTGCGAGACGGGAGATGTAGCTCATTGAGCGGTTTCACACAAAAAAAGTGTTACTTCACAGTTTTACGACACATACATTACATGTAACTTTTATTTTTTTGACTTGTAAAATTATCTTTTAAATTGACAAACATCATATGTGTAATTTGTGGCACAATTCAAACGGGATCGAAAGATAATCTTTCTCTCTCCATTGACTTCAATACATAACTTTTCCGAAATAAGGTCCCATGGAGCTCAACCGAAAGGGGAGGGACTTCGCCTCTCTATAGAGAGGCGAAGTCCCTCCCATTCCGGGAAGGGGGACCTTAATGTTAAGGCTAATACAAATGACAAGGCTATGGCTGTAATGCTAACTAACATGCTTGCTACTAGCTAGGTAGCTAACTTGATCCAGCGGCTCCTGGTCCTTTCATCAGACGGGAAGCGAAAGAACGAGCAAGACCCATTGCTGATATGATTACAACCTGGTACAAAGCACACAGGCATCTTGTTAAAGTTATCTTATCTTAGCTATCTCTAATGGCGCATTTCCACTACACGGCCTCGCTCGGCCTCGCTCGGTATGGCTAGGCCTCGTTAGGCCTTGTTAGGACTGGCTCACTTTATGGCGCATTTCCTTTACAGTTTAGGAACTGGGGTAGTATAGTTACGCAGTGTAGGCGGAGCCGTGACGTCATCTTCAATGAGAACCCCAGAAAAACAACACAGCCGTTAGCTGTTAGCACTCAGAGCTCACAGCTCCTCATATCTGTTCAGAAACTCGACAAAAGTTAAACAAGTACAAACCACAGATTGCCTGTGTCATGGCGAATACAGTCGCTGGTTTATTTATGTCTGTATAGGCCGTTGTTGTGAGTGTGGACGGTCGGAGCATATACTGCGTTAGCTTAGCCGATCTCCATTTAGAAAACACGCATTTTAAAAGGTTTTTCGCCTGCCGTCTGTCTGCAGACTTGACAAAGCATTAATTCATGGTTTTTACTAACCGGTATCAGTATGTTGTTACTTCATCATTTAGAAACGTGTATTACAATTAAATCACGGTCAAATATGTTCATCTTGTTGTAGTTGTAGTAGCCCCCTTGCCAGCGATTCTCTCTCTAGTTTAGCATACTCAGCCCGACTCAACCTGGTTGTTGACCCGGAAAGAACCTCGATTTTATCGGGCCAGAAAAACTGTGAAATAGTACCCGCTAGCCGGAACTACGCTAAGTGGAAACGCAACCAAAAACAGGCCCCGCACGGCTCGGCACACTTAAAGCGAGCTCCGCGCTGTAGTGGAAATGCACCATAATATTTAGTGGAGGAAAACAATGATGACATCACTTACGCGACTCTGGGATTTGAAGTCTTTCTAGTTGCGTATTTTTTCATAGTCTTATATTTTTTGTATATTTTAGTTTTACGACAAACTGTGACTTTTTTGACGTGGAAATGATTTTTTAAGAATGGGACAATTCAAACGGGATCGAAAGATACGTTTTCTCTCGCCATTGACTTCAATACATAATTTTTCCGAAATAAGGTCCCATGAGGTCCACCGGAAAGGGAGGGACTTCGCCTCTCTATGTGTGCATGTGCCTGATTGTTATATTATATGTATTATATTAAATGTATAATATTCCATGTAACTCTGATGATGTGTTTCACCGTGCAGAGAGCGATCCAGCTGCAGTTTACTCTGAAGTGAAGAAAGACGTCTGTTACGGAGAGATCGTGATCAACACAAACAGGAGGAGAGGTACACCAACAGATGCTAACTGTTCCCTCTGCTTTCATTCACAATGCTAAGCTAAGCTAATAATAATGTCCACTGAACACTCACAGTATATGTATTCCTTTAAATACATATACTGTGTGATATTAACAAACAGTGTTACATAAAAACTAAAAACTTTTAATACACAGAATTAAAAAATGAACTAAAAGCCTTAAATTAAAACCCATAATAAAACTGTAAATACAAAAATTTAAGTTTTACAAACATTTAAAAAAATTAATCTATTTACATTTTTTTTACTTAAACCCTTTAAATAACCTAAAAAAAAGGAATTTTGTTATTTCACAAAATAATGCCTTAAATTGAATAACTATTACAGATTAAATCAGTTCAGTTAGCTGAGCTAACTGCTAGCAGTGCAGATATACATATTATTATGTTATTAAAGAAGTGATTTCCTGCTTTCATTCACTATGCTAAGCTAAGCAAACATTGCCGGTGCATTAATCAGAATGAAATATGGTGAAAACATTGAATATAATTGGTCTTAATTAGTTGAATCCCAATTTAATTCAATTTTTCCCCCTATTCCATGTTTTGATGAATGCACCGGCACAAAGAGATGCAAATAGATGAAGATTTAGCAAGTTGAACTTTTCAACCCTAATAACAGAGTTTCCTGCAATACACAATCATGAGTATATTTATGAATTAGATTTCTGTAATCTCACCTCGACGCCCAATATTTTCATCCAATTAGTGAGATTTTGATCGTTTCACATGAGTTTTTACTGCAGTTTAAGTTTAACATTTTAGATTTTAAATGTTTCTTTCACATTGTCCTAAAAGTCGATATTAATCAAGTTACATGTTTATTTCAGCTGCTGAAGTGGAAATGGGAGAAGACGTCACATACAGCGATGTCAAAACATCCCAAAGCCGGAAGAAGCCAATCAAAAAGAGCCGACGGGACAGAGGTAATGATTGGTTCTGAGTGTGTTCTTGTTCTTACATCCATCTGAGGACCATCCGGAATTAAAGTCCTTAAGAGGACACTTAAGAAAAAGAAAATGTTCTCTTAAATTAGGATATTTTAGAAGGGAATAAAATCTATAAAGTCAATTTTTACTGGTCCCTACGGTTTTCAGACTGTACTGAGGTCTATTTTAGTGGATGATAGCGTGTGTGAGAACGTGTGTTTGTACCTTGTTGTTAACACAAGCTAGCTCTGAGGTCGTCCAGTTTCCTCTTTCTGATGGAACACACTTCAGAAGTGTTGACCTGCACACGCTGCACTGCAGGACTGTTAATAACACAAAGAAATAATATGAGTAAAATATAAATAGTCAAACTAACACTCTGATTACATACAATATATAATTGTAATTGCACATGCATGCACATATGTGTAGTTTGTCTGACGTGCCGATATGTTCATTTTGGTCAACATGTTGACATTTCTTGATGAAATCTAGCAGCTGTTGTTGCTAAGTTTCCATCACAGTTGTTGAAGCTATTTTCTGCTTTCCAAGAAGCAGAAGTGTAAAGAAGAACAACTTTTTCACATCTTTCTTAAAAAAAGAGTGGTTCCCACGAGACAGAGGGTAAACAGAGCGGTAATGAGAGTGGGAATGTAGGGCCGGCAGGTGTCGGTGCTCAATGTTTCAACTTTGTGCAGAAACACACACTTGCATGTCTCCATGCCTTAATGTTCAAAAAGCTCTTTATTTCTCTCATACTGCCTGTGCTGCAGCACATCTTTTCACCCTCTGTCTGAAACCAGAGCCCAGTCTACTCTGATTGGTCAACCAGCTTAGAGATGTCCCCCCCCCAAGTTTATCATGTGCAGCCAGTGCTTGAATTGGAATAAAAAAGGTGCCAGTACTCTAAATCAGCAACTGTTTCAAGTCAATTTATTTATACAGCCCAAAAACAAGTATTTGGCTCAAAGTCATAGTATATCCTATAATGCTGGTGGGTTTGTCTCTTTGCTGTATATTTTAGAAAGGCTCACTGTACTTAAACAAAATGACTCAGGGTGCATCTGAGATTAGAGGGGGTGCAGGGGTAAAGTGCTAAGTGGAGAGTGGATCTAACTAGGGATGCCAGAAACTGACCATGATCAAATTCGACAATCGGACAGCCCTGGCGAATATTAATCGATTACTCGCCGCCGCCCCCCCCCCCCCCCCACCCCGCGCGGGAGAGAAAAAAAAAAGTATTTTCGCAGAGCTTGCATTTTACTTAATTTGCACTTATCAGTTCGCAGTAGTTCCACGAGGAACTCTTCTTTGAACGTGCCGCTTTGTTCATCTTTAGTTGTGTTGTTCTCACTGTTCTGTATATCGCCAATAAATCAATCGCACGTGTGACGGAGAAGGGGGGGGGGGCGGTGTGTAACAGGCTGCAGCAGGCAGCAGCAGTCTGCACTCTGCGCAGCCTGCGCTGCTGGCTTCCTCCAAGTTTACAGTAAAACAAACTGGTGGTGTGACCAATGGCCATTTACAATTATTAATACTATTACTATTATTAGCATTAGTCTATATTTTGGTTGAAACTAAGCCAGGAAAAAAAAGAAAAACATAAATAATAATAAAAAAATATATAAATAAAATCGAATTTTAAAAATTATTTTCGATTATGGAGACTGTAACGAATATTCGAAAAATCGAATAATCGCTGGCATCCCTAGATCTAACACAAGATTTTTTTTTAAATGTTGAAGTTAAAAGCATCAATCTGGTGCACTTTGAGAGCAAAATGAAGAGATCTATGGATACCTCTCTCAACATCCATATGAAACAGAACTGTAAACAGATTTTCTTTTTCTTCATGGATATTTTACAAATCACTCCCCTTTTAAACTCTATTCTTGTTTTACTGTCATATAGTATTTCATTTTTAGTGAGTTACTCAGATGAGTACCAGGAGACAGCGTTTGGTACTCTGGTACAATTGTGGTGAAGGCATCTGAGTTAGATGTATTTGAACCAAAATGTCTACAGGCATACTGTAGCAGAAGATGGCATCTTTTTTACTGGAAATTCCAGCCAATCTCTGTTTTTAAACCATGAGCTGCGAAATGAGCGCCTTACCCCACTGTACAGGCGAGTTGGGAACTTGTTTAAATATACCTGGGCAGGCTCTGTTTTGCAGAGGTCCTCTGGCACTTGCGAGCCGCCGAGGGGTGGCGGTGTTTGGGGCGACGAAGACTGCTGCTCCGGGGGCGAGGCGGGCAAAGCGGCGGCGGCACCTCATGACGCATCTACTGAGTACTGAGTACCGCCGTACCGGCACCGTGCCGGTACTCAGTAAGAAGTAACGGTACCAGATGGGTAAAAATCAGAAGTGCCGGTACTGCGTAGCGGTGAGTACCGGCCCAATTCAAGCACTGGTTGGAGCGCTAGCCAATAGGAGCACGAGTGTTCCATAGTGATGTCACTATGTTCAGGAAGTAAACAAAGGAGTTTTTACATTTCTAATGAAATTCTAAGAAATACAAATCAATAGTGTAAGCACCGACATTACACCCTACTTTCCCGCTCTGTTTGCCCTCCGTCTCGTGGGTCAGTTTGCAGTTTTTTTCCACTCTGCTTGTAAAACCACAGCAGGCTCATTTCCAGAGAAGTGCTGATCTCATCCTGACGTTTGGGTTTTTATTGACAACGCAAAATGTATTTTAATCGAGGCGGGCAGCTCTGTGGTCGTCCATCTTCCTGTTTCAGAAGAACACCTTTCATCGTTCTCACGCAACATGAACAGTTATACCAAAGCAGCGTTATTATTGTTATATTATATGTATTTTATTCCATGTAACTCTGATGATGTGTTTCACCGTGCAGAGAGCGGTCCAGCTGCAGTTTACTCTGAAGTGAAGAAGAAGAGAGACGTCTGTCACGGAGAGATCACGATCAACACAAACAGGAGGAGAGGTACAACAACAGATGCTAACTGTTCCCTCTGCTTTCATTCACTATGCTAAGCTAAGCTAACAATGTCCACTGAACACTCACACAAGAAAGAGCAAGATTCCTTTAAATACATATACTGTGTGATATTAACAAACTTATGACTCAATTATTATGAGCTCAGAATAAAGAGTCTTTCATGAAGCTTTTAGTATAAAAACATACTAAATAATACATGTTAAATAAAGACAAATATGTTTTATGCTAATTAAAGTTTTACAAACATGAAATAGTATTTTTTAAATAAAGATATTTAAAGCAAATGTACTTACCCTTTAAATAACCTAAAAAAACACAATTTTATTAATTCACCAAATAATACCTTAAATTGAATAACTATTATAGATGAAATCAGTTCAGTTAGCTCAGCTCTGCACACACAGTTCAGATATAAATATGATTATGTTATTAAAGCAGTGACTTCCTGTTTGCATGTTTTAATAAAGTTTGTCCTGTTTTTAGCAGAGATCGTCCCCGAGCCGGACGTCCTGTACTCGTCTCTGAAGTAGACCTGAAGAAGAACTCCTCTGGACATCTTTTTATTCTCTGTGTTACTAGTGACTCTACAGTGACTCTTGAGCAGAGGAGTAAAGGCTGTTCTGCTGCTGTGGTTCTGTGGGTTTCACTTCGCTGATAAACAGCTCCATTTGTTCTGGTTTGGTCGCGGCTAACCAAGAACAGAAACACACCTGATAACAGAGGACACACACGGCAGACACACACACTGTGTGCAGTTCATATTGTGTATATCAAATCATGGTGGAAGAAGTACTCAGATACTTTCTGAAGTAAAACTGCAAATACTTTGGTTTAAAATACTTCATCACCAGTAAAATAATTAAACATGTTCAGTACTTTTGAATAATAATAAAATATGGATAAAGAAACTTCACAAATATCAAATAATCGAAAAATAATATATTTTTTATTTCTGTCACACAATTTGCTTGACTAAGTATTTAAATTAATTTCATTTTTATTTGTTCCGCTCATGGTACGCAAAACCCAATGTACAATAATTGCCAACAAAACATGTCTCTATGAACACACCACTGAGCGAAAAGGAGCAGGGAGAAGAAACAAATCTTATATGACCTGCCTCTTCCTAAAAAACACAAAATCAATAGAAATAGATGGTCTGTCCTTCATATGTTCTTTTTCACAGCCAAACGTATTCACAGATATAACATAACAGTATCAAAAAGTACTTATTTCCCACTTTACGGTTAACGGAAAAAACAAAACAACAACACCAAAACATCACATGTATAAGGAAAAGGAAAAGTGCAACACCCTCATCCGAGTCCTACTGGAGAAGAAAGTGGAAAGCGGCGCATAATAATAATAACAATAATAATAATAACAACAATAACAATGGGACCTGCAAATAAAGAACAGACATCACATCAAAGACATCAACAATATGTACCAATGCAGGACCAGGGTACATTATTCACATTCTGCTTCATATAGTCCCATCTTTCTTCATTTATACCATTTCTTTAACTGAAAAATACATATACAATTCTTTAGATCCTTCTGTTGAGAATTCCACAATTTTACACCAACCACCGAAACACACATTTGCTTTAGAGTAGTCCTTGCATAAGGATGCTTACAATGTAATATCCTTCTGTGGTCTTCCTTGTCTGATCCAAAAACAAACAGCTGTTGTAAATATCCTGGTAACATTCTGCTTGTTGCCCTGAGCATTACTGATGATGTCTGCAGCTCAGCTATCTCTTTGAGTTTCAAGAGTCCTGACTTAAAAAACAGTCTGTTGTTGTGTTCTCTTGAATCAGCTTTATGAATTATTCTTACTGCCCTTTTCTGTAATATTGACAATGGCTTTATGTTGCTCATATACGTGTTGCCCCAAAACTTCTATACAGTAAATAAAACATGGCAAAATGAGTGAACAGTACAACATCCTCAATGCCTTGTAATCTAGCAAATACTTTGCCTTGTTTAGAACATAAATATTCCTAGACACTTTGTTTTTAACATGTGCTATGTGTGATTTCCACGTCAGGTGATCATCCAGTGTCACACCTAAACATCGAAATTCAGAAACCCTTTCAATAGAAACTCCATCAATGGACAGTGAAATGTTTTCATCTTTTTTTCTATTAGCAAAAACCATAAACTTAGTTTCATTCAAATTTAGGGTTAACTTATTTTCATAAAACCATCTTTTAAGTTTGACCATTTCATGTCCAATACACTTTGCCAAAATGTTTAAATCATCTCCTGAACAAAAGAAATGGGTGTCGTCTGCAAACAACACAAATTGCAATAATGTTGACGTTTCACGTATTTCATTGATGTACAAAATAAAAGGTTTAGGCCCTAAATCCGAGCCCTGTGGGACACCACATTCTATGTTCATACACTCCGATGTACTACCAGCTAATTCTACATATTGTTGTCTTTTATCTAAATAACTTTTTAACCAATCTAGAACTACTCCTCTCACACCATATCTATGTCATTTTGAAATGAATAGGTAATGGTCTATGGTGTCAAATGTATTTTTTAAGTCAATAAATACACCTATTGTGTATTTCTTTCTTTCTATAGCTGTTGTAATTTCTTCTGTTATTTTCATTAAAGCTGTCGATCGATTTTTCCTAAATCCATACTGACTCAATAACTCATTTCTTTCAATACAATTATCAAATTGTTGGACAAAGAATTTTTCAAGGACCTTTGAAAAGTGTGAAAGCAAGGACATCGGTCTGTAGTTAGTAAAGTGTGAAAGCAAGGACACTGGTCAGAGATCATCTTTTAACATATTATTATAATATTCTCTTTTTGCTTGTCTCATTATAACTGTCCACTCATTTGTATATGCCTTGTATTGCTTTCCAACTGCCTTTGTCCTACATGTTATGAAGTCTTTATAAAGATTATTTTTCTTCTTGCAAGCATTTTGTAAGCCCTCTGTTATCCAAGGCTTTTTATACTAAGTACCTTTATATGTACAGAGTACAGTGGGACAATGTTTATCATACAATGATATGTAGGTGTTTACATCTTCTACATAAAGCCCTCTCCACTCTTCCTTTAAGAGGTCAGTCCTTACCCGGACATATCTACTGCGAGTCTCTTCCCTCTCTTTCTGTAATTGCCAATCATATGTTACAAATACAGGTAAATGATGGCTTATGTCCTTTATTATGAACTCTTAGCACTGCTTTCCATGACCTTTGTAAAGATATGGTGGATCGATGTTGCACAGGTTGATGTTATTCTCCTGGGCTTGGTGATCAGGGGATGACGCCCCCTGCTGTGCGATGCATCCAGGAAATCAGAAGTTGTTTTGTGTTTAGATTCATTTAAAATCCCCACAAATAATACATGTCTTATTTCCATTTAGGCCATCCATTAATACTCCTAAACTATCTTTAAACATCTCTACATTTGATCCTGGTGCTCTGTGTGCACAAGTCACAACAACATTTCTCTTCCTTTCCATTTCCAGTTCCATACATTACATTAAATCATCAGTCCCAGTGTGCATTTTAAGACGCAGTATTCAAATGTATATCAAAATATTATATACCATACAAACCAAATGATATTGGTTACATATACAAATAGATTCATGTACAATTTACCAAATAATATCAATGAACCATGATTGTTGTTAAGACTTATATATACAAAAACAATCTTAACATGAAAAGTGTATTGTTGTTTATTATTAAGATCATTTTACATTATCATAATAAGAGGAAGTGTTGGAGACAGGCTTTTGTTTTGGTCAAAGTAATATTGCCATCTAGTGGCGACCTTGTGTACTGCATGGTGAATAAAAGACTACAATTCCCATGTTGCAGCCAATTCAGAGACAGAGGTGGTCAACCTGTGGGGGAGATGCCGACACAATTATTACAATTATTTAACATTTATCATCCAACAGAATATATAAAGAGAATCTTAGTTTGCTTCAATAAACACTTTTTTGTTGAGTTGTGCCTCTTGTTGTTGTGTTCACTCTGACTGAAAGAGTATTTTCTGAGTCTAATTTGTGTGGAAACTATTTTATTTTGAATAACCGCACAAGCCGAGTAGCCAAGAGTAAAACTGATAACCTGAAGGATTAGTAGATGTGTTTCAAAAGGTGTTCAGAGTGGTTGAAGGAAGCGGTGACAGGAAGGAAACGCTGGTGTGAGCTATACTTTCAGAGAAACAGTTTGATGTCACATCACAAAGAGGTACAATGGATCCAACAAGTCTTCAACGCCTCGTCTGTAAGTACAATCTTTATTCTGTTAGCATGAGGGAAGACGTTCAGATATCATACAAACATCTGAGAGTTCACTGACCTTCACAACAAGCATCCAGAGTCTGGAGAGATGTAACTCTCTGTACTGTTTGGTACGTTCAGGAGAAACTGCAAACTAATATGATTGTTGTGGTGCATTCAAGTTCCTGCTAAAAGAGAAGTCTGTTATTTTCTCAGACTTCTATCCAGTCTGACTCGTGCTAACTTTGCACTACATTCATGTGTTCTAAAAGCACCATACAGACCTGTTGAAGTGTCCTGTGTGTCGCAGTGAACTCACACTAACCTGTGGTTTCTCCTCAGTCCTCACCTCCCTGCTGAGCTGCTCCACTAACCAGGGTCAGTACACTTTCTCCATCTTAGAAACTCAAAGCTGTGTCTCTGTTGACCTGATGCATCACTTTAGTCTCAGAGTAACTGAACTCTTTTCTATCCTCACATACTGAACTCTGCATCGCATGTTAGATTCATCAGTGAACATATCAGTGGCTTCTTCTTCTTCAGTGTTTTATAAATCTTCCTCCCTGCAGCTCGTCTGACGGTGACTCCCAGCAGCTCTCAGGTATTTAGAGATGAACCTGTCTCTCTGAGATGTGAGGACGCCTCTGATGGATGGACTGTGAGGAGAAACACGAGCATTGGTAACAGAGCTGAGTGTGGAGTCGGCTGGGGAAGACCTGCTGGTTCCTCCTGTAACGTCAGCCACATGGACCCTTTGGACAGTGGAGGTTACTGGTGTGAGTCCACAGAGGGATCCACCAGTAACACCATCAGCATCACCGTCTCTGGTAAGATCAGCCTCACTTCAAACTCTATGAGTCATTCAATGTTTCCATCAGCCGACCACAGAGCTGCTAGCTTGTGCTAACCACAGGGTACAAAACACACATTCTCACATGCAAAGCAAACGCTATCATCCACTACACCTCAGTACTGTAGGGACAAGTAAATATTCATGTTTAAAGTTTTATTTCTCCCTAGAATATTCTAATTGTAGGGAAAAGTCTATTTTTCTAAAGTGACCTCTTAAGTACTAAAACTCCAGATGGTCCTCATAAGGATATAAGTACAATAATACACACACACACACGTCATGTTGTTCCTGTCTCCGTGTTCAGGTGGATCAGTGATCCTGCAGAGTCCTGTCCTCCCTGTGATGGAGGGAGATGACGTCACTCTGACCTGTAGAACAAAGATGGCCGCCCCCCCCCCTGCTAGTTTCTTCAAAGATGGCGTCTTCATTGGGACTGAGTCTGATGGTCACATGACCCTCCTCCATGTCTCCAGGTCTAATGAAGGCCTCTACAAGTGTAGAGTCCAGAATAAAGGAGAGTCTGCAGAGAGCCGGCTGTCTGTCTCAGGTGAGGAGCTTTCCTTTGGTTTCAGGACTCATTCCTTCAGATGTTCACCTGACCAGGTGTGATTCTCTCTGCAGAAAAACCTCCTATGACCACCACGAACACGCCTACCTCTTCTTCTTCCTCCTCGACCATGAACGCGCCTACCTCTCTCTCCTCCCTCCACCTTGTGTTCAGGGTGCTCCGCCACCTGGTGGTTTTCTGCCCGTACTGCATCTGCACTTACATTGTGGTGTCTTTGTATCGACAGAGAGCCAGAGGTAAGAAACTTATTTTGTTCAAATGACAGCCATTTAATTAAATGAGACATCCGTCATTTAAAAGCTTCATGAATTAAACATGACATTTAGTGCGTCTGCATCATCGTCTCCTTTACACCGGATTGAACCAGAAATCGACCAAGCTCTATCACCGGGTCAGGAAGTTCTGCTGTTGATATTCTTAACACATTTTCTTTCTGACAACAGGAAACGACCCGTCCGTCTCCGTGGCGATGACCCCGCCCACCCACGCTGAGCAGGGATTGGATGATGATGTCATGTCTGCTGTCACCACGGAGCATCAGTTCTGATCTGATGTTAAAAGAGTCTGAACTCCTCCGTAGATCAGAGACTCCACGTGTTGTAGTTCTTATGGGTTGATACGATTACACATGGTACTATTATAACTTGCACACCATCTTTAAATTGGTTCCAAAAGATTGTTTGTGTTTGCTTAACAAATAATTCTGTGTTACTGAAATAAAGTATATCTTGCAAAGACCTTTTCTACAAATATTTCAAATAAAAATCTGTTCAAATTGATTTGCGCACTCTTTTAAAAGTGATAGTATTTTTACTTTAATAAAATGTCTTTAAAGTGCCTTTACTTCTGACCCACAATCCTTTGCAGATACAGATATACAGGAATAGCAAATGGTCAAAGTTTCCGATACTTTGGAAAATATTAAAGTATTTCACAATACAGGTAAATCTACTTAGTATAAAAATGAATAACAGATTACCCAGAAAGGTCCCTAAAGCATATTTTTATGTATTAAGTAGAGACTGGAAATATTATTGACTTTAAATCCATAAACCCTTTATTCAAGGAAACAGGATTAATGCAAAACAGACTAGTACACTCTTTCCCTCTTATCTCAAAAAGAATTTGTTAAAGGTGACGGCTGCTTCCTGTTCTTTGTTGGTTGGTTGGACACCTATGGCAACAGGAAAATCACACACACACACACATGCACGCACGCACGCACGCACACACACACACACCCTTTAACAAAGAGTCCAGTTTGATTGTAATAAATGAGGGGGAGGTGATCTGAGAACTGTTTCTAGTCCAAATTGAGACTAAAGGGGAAATGTGCACAACACATATTTGTATTCAAATGTTAAATGTGGTCCAACCAGTTAGGTTACAAAAAAACCCCTTCATCCATGCAACGCGTTATCGTGCCATGCATGGGAACAAGGAAGAGAACAGGTGCTTTGAGTTCAGTAGAGATTTGGTTATTAAGACAATGCTATGAAGGGGTTAGGGTTATCCTCATGATGTCATCAAATGTGCCCCTGCCTTCATTTGAGAGGAAAACTCGTCTTAGGGCTGAACAGCAGATATATGCACACATGTGTACATAGCAGTAACCTTAAAGGAAAGCATCAGCATTAAAAACATCATCTCATAAACAATCACACATGTTTATGTGTTGGGTAGGGTTAGGGTTTGAGAGCAGCTGTGCTTTTTGTTCGATGAAAAGCAGATTGTTCTCAGAGTTCATCACATCAAGGTTCAAGGTTCTTTATTGTCAATCTGACATAGCTACAGAGTAATTATGCAGTTGAAAATCTTATGTCACAGGCTTCTCCAACAATGCAACATAATAACATAACATAATAACAATAAGAGCAAGAGCAATACAAAAATAATAATAGTTATAAAAATGAAATAAAGTTATGATGTGGAATAGTGCAGTATGAGTCTATACACAAGTTATTGGAATGATATATATATATTAGGTATTAGATACATACTACTGAGTAGCAGATGAATGTTTTGAAGTTGTTTCAACAGTTCAATTTTTTAACAGTCTCACTGCCCGCGGGAAGAAACTGTCTCCGAATCTTCTTGTCCTTGCCAGGATGCTGCGGTAACGTCTGCCAGACGGCAACAGAAAGAACAGTTTGTGGCTGGGGTGATGGGGGTCTTTGATAATCCGTAGTGATTTCTTCCTGAGCCGCTGGGAGTAAAGGTCCTCCATGGATGGCAGCTCCGTCCTGGTGATGTGCTGTGCAGTTTTCACCACCCTCTGTAAAGCCTTACGATCGAGGTCGGTGCAGCTGCCGTACCAGGCCGTCATGCTGCCAGTGAGGATACTCTCTATGGTGCACCTGTAGAAGTTGCAGAGTATCCTGGAATCCATTTTGAACCTCCTCAACCTGCGGAGGAAGAAGAGCCGCTGTCGAGCTTTCTTGGTGATGGTGGTGGTGTGAAGAGACCATGTCAGGTCCTCAGTGATGTGGACCCCAAGGAACCTGAAGCTTTTGACTCTCTCCACCGTAGTCCCATTGATGGCGATGGGGGCGTGTCCCTCTCCCTGCTGCTTCCTGTAGTCCACAATCAGCTCCTTTGTTTTGCTGACACTGAGATGGAGGTTGTTATCCTGGCACCAAGATGTCAGGTTTTCGACCTCCTCTCTGTACGCCGTCTCGTCATCGTCTGTGATCTGGCCGATGACGGTCGTGTCATCAGCAAACTTCACGATGGTGTTGGAGCTGTGTGTGGCCACGCAGTCGTGGGTGAACAGGGAGTAGAGGAGAGGGCTGAGCACGCAGCCTTGAGGGGCACCGGTGTTGAGAATCAGGGTGGAGGATGTGATATTTCCCACCTGCACTGCCTGGGGTCTGCCCGTCAGGAAGTTCAGGATCCAGTCACAGAGGGCGCTGTTGAGCCCGAGGTCTCTGAGCTTGATGGCCAGCTTGGAGGGCACAATGGTATTGAATGCTGAACTGTAGTCAATGAACAGCATTCTCACATATGTGTTCCTGTTCTTCGGGTCCAGGTGTGAGAGGGCAGTGTGGAGGGTGAGGGCTATGGCGTCGTCTGTGGACCTGTTTGCTCTGTAGGCAAACTGCAGGGGGTCCAGAGATTCAGGGAGGGAGGAGGTGATGAATGATTTGACTAACCGCTCAAAGCACTTCATTACGGTGGAGGTGAGTGCTACTGGGCGGTAGTCGTTGGGGCAGGTGATGATTGTCTTTTTGGGGACAGGAATGATGGTGGAGTGTTTAAGACATGTGGGGACTACAGACTGCAGCAGGGACCTGTTGAAGATGTCTGTGAACACCTCTGCCAGCTGAACTGCACACACCCTGAGAACACGGCCAGGGATGCCATCAGGTCCAGGAGCCTTGTGTGGGTTAACCCTTTTAAAGGATTTACACACATCTGCCCTATTTAAAACAAAAGGGCAGTGTAGCTCCTGGTCCCTCTGTACCTCCACAGCCCGGCTGCTCTCAAAGCGTGCAAAAAAACTGTTTAGCTCATCTGGGAGAGATGCGCACGCAGACACTCCCGCAGCACCCCCCGCTGCTCCTTTGTAGTCAGTCATTGTCCTTAGTCCCGCCCACATATTCCTAGTGTTACAGCCTTTGAAGTCAGATTCCACCTTGTCTTTGTACTGTCTCTTTGCATTTTTAATTGCTCTCCGGAGATCATACCTAGACTTCCTGTACTCCTCCAAATCTCCAGCTCTGCGTGCGAGTGGATCCAGGGGCTTTTGATTTGGGAATGTCCGTACAGAAACCTTCGGTACCACGTCATCGATGCATTTCCCAATGTAGCAGATGACAGTGTCCGTGTGTGTGTTGATGTTATTGTCCTCAAACACACACCAATCCGTGGATGCAAAGCAATCCTGCAGTGCCTCATCTCACTCCTCGCTCCATCGTTGTACTGTTCTTTGTTATCGGTCTGTCCCTTTTAAGTTTCTGCTTGTAAGCAGGCAACAACAGTAGTGAGATATGGTCTGATTTGCCGAAGGGAGGGCGAGGGAGAGCCTTATATCCATTCCGGAAAGGGGAATAAACATGGTCCAGTATGTTTCCCCCGCGCGTCGGGAAGTTGATGTGTTGGTAATATTTTGGCAAAACCTTCTTCATGTTGGCGGTGTTGAAATCTCCGGCCACAACGAACGCCGCATCTGGCCGTGAAGTCTCGGTTTTATCAATAAACCCAAACAGCTGATCGAGTGCCGTGTTGTTGTCGGCGAGTGGCTGTGGCGGGATATACACTGCTGTTATCACAACAGATGTGAATTCCCTGGAACAGTCCGATGAAATAATCTTCACATCTGAGCACCAGTTGTTGTTAGTCATTACACACACACCGCCTCCCTTACTTTTCCCCGAGTTAGCAGTCCGGTCCTGACGAAAAATAGAGAATCCATCAGGGACAATGGCGGAGTCCGGGATAGCGGGGTTGAGCCAAGTCTCAGTGAGAATTAACACGTTACAGTTCTTAATGTCCCGTTGAAAAGCAATCCGGCTTCTGAGTTCATCTAGCTTATTTTCAATGGACTGAACATTAGCCAGAAGAATACTCGGAAGAGGGGGTCGATTCTCTCGTTTCCTCAATCTGACCAGCAACCCGGCCCGGCACCCGCGTTTTGTCTTCTTCTTGCGTCTCTCAGGTAGAACAGCAACAGGTAGCCATGGTGAATCTCCATTGTTTGTCGGAGGGTTATTATTGTCCACGAAGTTTCGCAATTGGAAAAGTTCCTCTCTGCTATATTGTATGGCAGAGTAGGTGCGGTCGGCTAGCATGTTGCGAACCATGTTAAAAGTAAAACGGCAAAAGTAAAAGAAATATGTACAAAATACGAAAATGGGCAAAGTTGGAGAGGAGCACAAAGACGATGCGGCCATCTTCACCGGCGCAAAGTAGAAGACTGCAACAGAAATTGGTATCTCCACAAAAGGAGAAGTCTGAAGTCACGCTGCCTCCTGAACGCATTACTACACCTGCTTGTGTTAATGTCATGCACACATGATCAGGAGCATTAAGAACTTTTTTTAAACTAGGGTAACGACATTTAAACATGTTTTAAATCAAACACTTTGAAATACAGAAATACTTTTGTAGATAGAAACCTTTATATATGACATTTGAGAATCCATCTGTGTGCATTTATGTATTTTGAGACTGATCTGACACCACCAGGAAATGCAAACGAAGTGTCCTCTGGCGCCGTGGAGTTCAGAGCAGCTTGGTGTTACTGTTTGTCAGGAAATGCTGCACTGAGTACAAGTACTAATACCACACTGTACAAATACTCTGCTGAAATAGAAAATCATTCAAGATTCAAGATTCAAAGGTTTATTGAGAAACTTCACAGATCACAGGTTCTTCAGCAGGGCAATTTACAAGAGATAACAAGTAATAATATAAAAATACGGGATAGTACAGCTCAGGTATGAGGGATGAAACTGTCTCTGAGTCTGGTGGTTTTCCTGATGGGGGTCTTTGTAATCCTGATGGGGGTATTTACAGGGGTCTTTGTAACCCTGATGGGTTTGCTAATTTTAAGCCTAAACCCTGAACACAACGTGGTCTGGAGCAGCGTGTGTCTGCAGCGTGAGTACCTGATATCCCTGTAATCTGACTTAGATAGTAGTGAACCCCTCAGGTAGTGCAGGTGGTTGGGTTATTCATCAAGACCCTCCACCACGACAGGGTCGACATTCAGGAGAGGAGAAGCAGGGGATGGAGGACAGTCAGGTGTCCGTTCGGACATTTCCTGTTCATTGAAACACTCTTCTGATCTTTTCTTCTTTGCTCTTTGACATTTTACAACAAGTACAACAACAACAACAACACCAACGAGACAAACCAGTGCCACACTAACTCCCACCACAACGTCTCCTCTGGGACCCCCTGCTTGTTCATCGTTGGCGTCTCCATTAATCGGGTGTTCCTCGTTGATTTCCTTCTCAGGACCTGAGGACAGAAACAGAGAGCAGTGAGGAAACGACTGGACCCCCCCTCATGTTGGAGAACAGCTGATCATGAAGGTGATGAAGAACAGAATCTGTTTCCTCTCCAGTCTCATGTCAGACATTATCTACCGATCACAGAGCATCAACATCATCTTTAAACATGCCAATGGAGGAACTCTTCAGGAGAAACACCAACTCACCTTCAGAGACGCTCAGATGGACGGAGGCAACACTCTTCCTGTACACTTGGGGGGAAGTAACCCAACACTGGTACGTTCCTGTGTCATCAGACCTGACGTTCTTCAGGAGAACAGAAACGTCTCCGTTCTTCATGTCTGGATGTATCAGCTCAACACGACCATGATAACGTGGATTCTGGTAGCTTTCCATCAACTCATTATCCATGAAGTAGAACACGTACTTATCCTCTAGCCCAGGTCCCTTCCACGCTAACAGTGTGATGGCAGCATCTGTGGAAGTGTGGCACTGAAGAGTGACGTCTTCTCCAGGCTCTGCATTCACCTCATGATCTACAGAATGACAGCAAGGCAAAAGTCAACAGCATTTCTTTAACTGTGATCCGCACAGATCTTCCATTTTAAATTATACTGCACTTTATCCTTCAGAGTCATTTGTCATATGTTTGGTATGCCCATATCTGTAACCCAGGTGAACAGTTCATTCTAATTACTAAAATATATATCCATTTTAAAATTGTCAAAGGCCGGCGGGGGTTTGTACATCCGATCTTACTTTTTGTGTTTTTACTCAAGATTTTGAATTAATGACTTTTACTTGTAAGTTTTATGAAATATGTGTCTTTTTTCTTGAGTAAAGGATCAGAGACCTCCCTCCTCCTGTGTGAGTGGAGGAGCACTATATTTAGAAATGAAGAAGGATCCGAGCAGTGTTTAGGACGGGAGAGTTTGTGCAGGAATTAAGAAAACAGTTTTTTCCCTGTCCAACCTGTTTTCTCCTGAGCCTGCAGTCTCACCTCCTGACTCGAGACCACCTCCAACACCGGACCCTGGTCCTCCTTTCTCTTTCCCTGAACTGTATGATTGTGTTTAAAGCTCCTGCCTCCTGTCTCTGCTCTGCTCCTTGCTCCTGGCCAGCCTTACCAGAACGATTATTGTTATAATACATAACAAATAAATACTTAAATTGAACAGTTAGAGACTGCAAAAGTACTCACAACCTTCACTCAAGTAGAAGTACAGATACTCATGTTTAAAAATGCTGGTAAAAGTAGAAGTACTGACTAAACTTCTTTACTCAAGTAAAAGTAAAGAAGTATGGGCTTACTGAATATCCAGAGGTGGCAAGTAGTGGAGTACAAATACTTCGTTACTGTACTTAAGTACATTTTTCTGGTATCAGTACTTTACTCCACTACTTATTTTTCTGACAACTTTTAACTTTGACTTCTTACATGTTGAACACAAATACCTGTACTTTCTACTTCTTACATGTTGAACACAAATACCTGTACTTTCTACTTCTTACATGTTGAACACAAATACCTGTACTTTCTACTTCTTACATGTTGAACCCAAATACCTGTACTTTCTACTTCTTACATTTTGAACCCAAATACCTGTACTTTCTACTTCTCACATGTTGAACTCAAATACCTGTACTTTCTACTTCTTACATGTTGAACACAAATACCTGTACTTTCTACTTCTTACATGTTGAACCCAAATACCTGTACTTTCTACTTCTTACATGTTGAACACAAATACCTGTACTTTCTACTTCTTACATGTTGAACCCAAATACCTGTACTTTCTACTTCTTACATGTTGAACACAAATACCTGTACTTTCTACTTCTTACATGTTGAACCCAAATACCTGTACTTTCTACTTCTTACATGTTGAACACAAATACCTGTACTTTCTACTTCTTACATGTTGAACCCAAATACCTGTACTTTCTACTTCTTACATGTTGAACACAAATACCTGTACTTTCTACTTCTTACATGTTGAACCCAAATACCTGTACTTTCTACTTCTTACATGTTGAACACAAATACCTGTACTTTCTACTTCTTACATGTTGAACCCAAATACCTGTACTTTCTACTTCTTACATGTTGAACACAAATACCTGTACTTTCTACTTCTTACATGTTGAACCCAAATACCTGTACTTTCTACTTCTTACATGTTGAACACAAATACCTGTACTTTCTACTTCTTACATGTTGAACCCAAATACCTGTACTTTCTACTTCTTACATGTTGAACACAAATACCTGTACTTTCTACTTCTTACATGTTGAACCCAAATACCTGTACTTTCTACTTCTTACATGTTGAACACAAATACCTGTACTTTCTACTTCTTACATGTTGAACTCAAATACCTGTACTTTCTACTTCTCACATTTCCCAAACAGGCTGGTTCCTTTAGTTTGAATGTGTGTTTGGTGGCGTGATCATTATTATTTAGAGTCATTGCGTGCCTATTGATTTGAACACGATCCGTGTATCCATCATTTCCTGGTCTTCTCTAAAGAAGAGGGACCAATGAAAACGTTGTCATGTTGCCGTTGTTCAGCATGGAAACATTCATTAGCTAACAATGACATTATTGTTCTATTAATATAAAGGGAGGTCAGGTACTCTTTAAAACAGCTGCTAGTTATGGGTACTTTTTACTGAAGTACACTTCAAAGCCCATACTTCTTTACTTTCACTTTTACTTGAGTAAAGAAGTTTAGTCAGTACTTCTACTTTCACCAGAGTAGAGTAAAGAATGAGTATCTGTACTTCTACTTGAGTACAGGATGTGTGTACTTTTGCCCTCTCTGTGTATATCTATGTACAATAAATCTGAGTAATGATTTATAAATGTCCACAGGCCACGGCTCAAAGTGTTCAGGGAAGAGCAATGACAGCAGCAGAAAAATGCATGTTGAAGCGAGAGCAAGCAAAGAAGCACACACCCCCCACACACACACACACACACACACACACACACACTTACCTCCTGTAGCCAGAGACTGAATCCACACCAACAACAGGTGTACAGCCACATGTTGCACCCGTGTTAAAGCAGCCATTGATGAGAGGCTGTGAATACATTGAGGAACAAGGAAACAAGGAAACAAGGAAACCGGTGTCACACACAGGAAGTTTTCTCCAACCTTCGAGAACAAATTACAGGAAGAACTTCTTTAGCCTTTCCTTCAAAAATAAAAGCACACATTAGATAAAGTTGCTGATTGGAGGATTTAAAGAAACAATGGGAACATTTAAAAATGTCTTCAAAATGTTATTTTTATAATACAGACATTTCAATCAACTAAACAATAAAGAGGCAGGTGCGACAAACAGTATTTAATAACACAACATATAACACACACACACACACACACACACACACACACACACACACACACACACACACACACACACACACACACACACACACACACACACACACACACACACACACACACACACACACACACACACACACCTAATTTATACTCACCTGCTGAGCGTCCCTCTCTGACGTTAGCCATTTGCATTTTAGCTCTGTTTTGAATCTCTTCAGATGTGAAATAGACACGTGCATTTAAGACTTGTTGTAGAAACAGGAAAAGTCAGTGAACAAGGAAGCACATCAAAACCACAAACTGTTCTATTTATACAGAACACAAGAGGTGACTATAGAAACATTTACAAACAAATGCAGTGAAAACTTACAGTAGGAAAAAAGTAATATACGCAGTTTTGTAAAATAATATAAATGTTCTTGGAGACACAACAGTTAGAATATATATTGAATTGAGTCTGTGTTGTTCTTTTAAAATCTTCATTCCTCGCTTCTAATTTGAGTTAATATCGACTGTGCTCCAGGGAAAAAGACGCCTTTTTTCACAAATTATTTGGACGTGTAAAATACTTGTAAGAAATCCCCCCAGAGTAGAAAACGTTTCCATAGTCTCCGTAGTTTTATACCCCTCGTTATGATGGCTTTAATTTGGGTGAGAGAGCTCGTTCAGAAACAATAAAACTCACGTTCTGGGTAAAAGTGACAGAAACAACAGTTTGGATAAATATTTAGACATGCAAGTAAGTTGCTTTGAAAGACCCTCGTCTCGCTTCAGAGTCTGTGGTTTTTAATCCCTGCTTTGAATTAATCCGTTCTGCACACTGGGATTTTTAGATGCCTTTCACTGAGGTGCGAAAGCTCTGAATAATCGACTGGTTCTGAACGACATCACGCAGATCTTTCACCGCAATATTCACGTTTTGGATAAAAGTTCTGGTGGGATAGTTTGAACACATATATTCACGTGCAAATAAATAAGTCCTATCCGCACAACGGGAGTGTTTGTCGTTAGTTGCGAAAGCGCGGAAAAACCTGCCTTTTTTCTCACAATATTACAACGTTTTCTTCGCCACCCCAATTTATATTTCTGCGTGAAAGTAACTGATTGGAAAACCTTTTGGCGAATGAACTGCCCAGGAAACCGCTCATCCTGTTTCCTGTGTTGTTGTTTTGTAAACCCAGTTTTAAATAAATCCATTGTGCTAAAGCTTGGGGAAAATAGGCCTTGCTTCGAACTATATTACGCATCTTTTTCAGCGCATAATATCTGCGTGCTGGGGAAAAGTCCTTGTGACAAAGACAACAGTTTTTTGATTGTCTGATGTCTTTAATTGCGGTGCGGAAAAACCTGCCTTGTTTATGACAATACTACACCACTTTTCTTTCACAACGTAATAAATCTTTGTGATAAAAACAATACTTGGAAAATATTTTGTCGTGCAAATCACACAGAGAAGAGGCCGGGTGCAGAAGGGTTTAGAAGTGATGCTCCGTGGTGACGTCATCGTACTGTTCGTCCGATGCTTCCTCCTCGCCGCGTGAAGACGTCTCGGAAACAGGCTTCCTACTTCCTGCAGAGTCACAGAATAAATGTGTTAACATATTTGAAATCAGGAATATTCATTTTAATCGTCCTGGGAAAAGAGTCCTGTCACTACGTTTTTTTCTTTGTTATTTGTTGGAACGTTTTTCCTTATCTTCTGCAAATGACGCATTTAATATCCCCGATGTGCAATAATAACACAACCTGTGAATATAAAACTTGCACCCTCAAACCAAAATGCAGATTTTCTCCGTATAATGTTAAAGTGATGCCAGAAAACTATATTTCTGTTCCTCAAAAACTGTATAATTCCTCCAGAAATCTGAGCATCAAACAGAGCGTCAGACGCAGAGACAGCTTTGTTTTTACGGAGCTCCGACGTCACGTTGTTCTTTACGTCACGTTGTTGTTTACGTCACGTTGTTCTTTACGTCACGTTGTTCTTTACGTCAGGAGACATCACGTTCTCAGAGAATTTATAAATCTTATAAACAAGATCAGAGACACAGCACTCATATCTTTAGAGAGAAACCCCTGATATGCCATCGTGCAATTTAGACTTTCTTTGTATTTGAATTTATTTCCAATCTGTTAACATCATCAGCTAAATCAATATTTATATATTTTGTCCCTTTTTTAACACTTTTTTTTTACCATGTCGTAATAATCTGTTATCTGTTTTACTTATTGTGTTTTTATTATTAATGATGTGTGCATTTGACTTAATCTGCACTATACTCGTAGCTGCAGCTCGACAAATAAAGCATTCTGATTCTGATTTGTAGTTTATAATACTGGGTTTTAAAAGTTACATCTGAGAGACAAGCTCACCTTCAGAGACGCTCAGCTGGACGGAGGTCATTAAGACTTTCTTCAATCGATGCATGGAGAACGTTGTAACCAGACACTCGTACGTTCCTGAGTCTTCTTTGCTGACGTTCTTCAGGAGAACAGAAACGTCTCCATTCTTCATCTCTGGATCTTTCAGCTCAACACGACCTCGATAACGTGGATCCTGGAAGCTTTCAAACAGCCTGTTATCTCTGAAGTAGAAGACGTAATCATCCTCTCGGCCAGGTCTGTTCCACATTAACACTATGACGGCAGCATCTGTGGAGCTGTTGCACTGAAGAGTGACGTCTCCTCCGGGCTTTGCCTTCACCTCTGAATCTACAGAAAGACAGAAAGACAAAAGTCAGCAGCATTTCTTCACCTGTGATCAGCTTCCCCTACAGGTCTCTGTGTATTCTGCACATTTCTACAAGGCTTCCTCTTCTAAAATATTCTTTGAAATACTTCCATATTGGCTCTTGCTTTTGATGGTAAAGTGAGGGTCTAAGGACAGAGGTTTTATTTTTCTGTACGAACTGTAAAATGTGTGATATTATCTAAATACACTTTGATTGATTGAGTAAAGTATATTTTGATTCCAATTATGTTTGCCCTTTCACTTAAGATTTTGAATCCAGGATGTTCTCCTGCAACAGAGCATTAACACAGTGTATTATCGCAGGTCTTACTCAAGTAAAACACCAGAGCACTTCCTCCTCTGATGGAGGATGACCATCTTTAGACATGAGGAAGGCCTCCATTGGCCAGAGGGAACAGTCTTTAGTTTGCTGTTGAGTTCAGCCAATCACAACGCTTCGTCTTAAATGAAATTGTGCGCAGTGGCTTGCCCTCAAAGGAAATAGACTTAAAATAGTTTTTAGTTAGAAGAAGAAGCACTCAGATCTTGTAAGTAGAAGTACTGGAGTGTATTAATACTCTGTTACAAGTAAAAGTCCTGCATTCAAAATGTTACTTGATTATATTTCACATCATTCATCCACATCTGTAAAGTAACTAAAGGTATTAAATACATGTAGTGGAGTAAAAGTAGTAGCAAAACATTGAAATACTCAAGTAAAGTACAAGTACCTCAAAATCGTACTTAACTACAGAACTTGGGTTAATATAGTTACTTTACACCTCTGGTTATTATATATAAAGTATTGTATTTAACTGCAGAGCTGACTACAGTCAACCTACAGTACAGACACTCTCAAATCAATACATCTTTTTATAATCAATATCGTGCATCAAAGTGACTCTACCTGCAGCCACAGCCCGACTGATCCACAGGAGCGTGAAGACGAGAGGACACGAGGTGAGAGCAGCCATGAGAGCAGCGGAGAGGAAACTCTGCAGGAAGCTGAATGTTTTCAAGATGTAACTGCAAAGTGTTTAAGCCTTTAGACAGAGGGAGAATCCGCAGTCACATGACAGGAAAAGGACTGGTACGACCATCTATGGGTACGACCATCTATGGGTACGACATGCAGTGGCGTTTTTATATGTACAAAAGTGGTGGGGCACAAAAAACGTAGATGTCTATATATAAGCTTCTGCAGTGACGTGCAGTGAGGTTCATGGCTGCTGAGGCACTGGCACTGACTCTTCAGGTTTACAAATATTATATTTTGACCTAAACCAAAATATAATATTATTTTCAAAAGCTTTTTTTGTCTGATGCTTCGATTAATTTTAAACAGACAGTTCAACAAAAGGATACCCAAAAAAATGTAATTTTATCATTTAAATATTGAATTGTTCTCTCTTAGTAAGATCCCATTTTCAATCAAATGGCGGTCTTACCTTGACTTGAAGATGAAGTCCATTTTCCTATCCTTCTGGACAAACATTTCTATTACTTTTTTGTAAAAGTCCTCCTTATGTTCTTGTAGTTTCAAAAGTCTATCATAAATCTAATCCATAGATTTATGATAAAAAAATTATAAAAGTAGGGTAGACATGTGGATGTTATCCGGCTGAACAAAACGTGCATTTATCTAACAGGTACGTTTCCCACAGATCTTATTTCGAGCTATTTTCTAAAATCCTCTGGAGGAATCTCATTGCTTTTTTGTGCTTACTTCCTGGTTTTAGGACGCGTCACTGCAGCTCTCTCGTCTCCTCTTCACACAGCACACTTTTCGCGGCACACGTACTTACAGCCAATCAGCTCTGAATGATTTGAGATGACGTATGGTGGGGATGGTAGCTCCGTGCCCCTCTGGTCATTATTTTTTTGCCACACACATTTCATTACAAAATACTCTGAGCATGCGCAGTGTAGTTTTTACAGTCACCGTTGACTTCACAGCGAGAGGAAGGGGCATAATCAGGTTTTGTCCCACATGGCTCTAAACAGCTCAATAGGCACACACTGTGACTGTAGACACACTAATGAGAAGAACACAGACTAAAACAGCAATGTACAGACGAATCAGATGATTAAACATGATCTTAAAATATATTTTATATATATTTTTTTTTTTGCATTTTTGTAATCATTATTTGTAATACTTTCTGCTGACACTAGGTGGGGCTGTGCCCCACCTGCCCCTAATGACCAGTCGCCACTGACGACATGACAACCACACGTTCAACACAGTGAGGGAACAGTTAGAATGCTGGTCCAGCTGATAGCAGTTCAGACTCTGTGAGAGACAGAGTGTTTCTGTCATAGAAACAGGTGGTGGGAAGTAACTAAGTACATTTACTCAAGTACTCAACTTTACTTGAGTGTTTCCATTGTGTTCCTTTGTACTTCTACTCCTCTACAGTTCAGAGGTAACTGGTGTACTTTTCCTCCACTACATGTATTTAATACCTTTAGTTACTTCACAGATGTGGATTGGAAATGGACCAATCTGCACAACGACTACTTTTACTGTCGCTACTTTCACTATATTTAGATGAGAATACTTTTCTACTTTCACTTGAGGAACATTTTGAATGCAGGACTTTTACTGTAACAGAGTATTCCTACACTCTGGTACTTCTACTTTTACTCAAGTACAAGATCTGAGTACTTCTACTTTTACTCAAGTACAAGACCTGAGTACTTCTACTTTTACTCAAGTACAAGATCTGAGTACTTCTACTTTGACTCAAGAACAAGATCTGATTACTTCTACTTTTACTCAAGTACAAGACCTGAGTACTTCTACTTTTACTCAAGAACAAGATCTGAGTACTTCTACTTTTACTCAAGTACAAGATCTGAGTACTTCTACTTTTACTCAAGTACAAGATCTGAGTACTTCTACTTTTACTAAAGTACAAGATCTGAGTACTTCTACTTTTACTCAAGTACAAGACCTGAGTACTTCTACTTTTACTCAAGAACAAGATCTGAGTACTTCTACTTTTACTCAAGTACAAGATCTGAGTACTTCTACTTTTACTCAAGTACAAGACCTGAGTACTTCTACTTTTACTCAAGTACAAGACCTGAGTACTTCTACTTTTACTCAAGTACAAGACCTGAGTACTTCTACTTTTACTCAAGTACAAGATCTGAGTACTTCTACTTTTACTCAAGTACAAGATCTGAGTACCTCTCCCACCTTTGATAGGAACTCAGGAGTCAGGAATAAGGGAAAATAATGAAAGCAACGAACTGTTCAGACTTTACTTTTATCAACAAATATTTAATACAGTTTACAAAAAATAAATGTAGAAAAACTTTGCAGACAACATAGAGTAGGAAAAAACATACACACGAGGTCGTGACGAACAACCAACAAGAACATGTTGTATTAAATCCCTTCGTACTAACAACAGCGCCATTTTTTTTAACTTTTCAATAAAGGTTTTTCAGGCAGAGGATCGATCGCAGGAGTACGTTTGATATCTCCCTGTAAGATATGTCGATAAGTGGATCCGTCAATGCTTAGGGCTTTTATTGTGAAAGGCTCGGAGGAAGGAGTGGATCGATTGATGACACAGTTTGTCTATGCAACATAATACTCAGGTTCTTGGTGAAACAACAGTTATATTTTAACGTTTAAATTAATTGCAGGAAAAACTCCATCTTGGTTTGGAGTCTCCGTGTTGTACTTTTTATAATCCTCATTCCTCGGTGCTAAATTCTTGTGTGAAAGTACTCGTGAAAACAGGTGTTTAAAATCATATTTTGACGCGCAAATGAGTTGTTAACCCCCCAAAAAAAGCCTGAATTAAGAAATGTGTTGTCCTTGTTCAGGGTCTCTGCGTTTTAGCAAAAACAACAAATTGGAAAAATATTTTGACATGTAAAATAATTGCACCAAAGTCTCTCTTGTTTCAAGTGAGTCCCTCCCTGATGCCGTTGACTGCAGTGTAGAAGCTAGAAATAATCAACTCTGAGCGACATTCCAGCTTTTTTTCATCCCATAATATTCAAGCTTTGGGTGAAAGTTCAGGTGAAAAAAGACAACAGTTTGAACATATATTTTGACAATGCTTTCCGCACAACGTGATTGTTTGATATTGTTATTTTCAATGTGAAAGCTCCTTGTTCCGGAGAATACTACAGTGCTTCATTCACACCGTAAATAATGTGGCAAAATCAAAACTTGGAAAATATTGTCAACACAAAAAACTAGCCCGAAAAGGTTCAGAAGTGATGCTCGGTGGTGACGTCGTCGTCTTGTCCGTCCATTGCCTCGTCGTCCTTCCTTCTTCCTGCAGTCGCAAAATAAATGTGTTATATATCCGATAAATTATTTTAAAATCAGGATTATTACTTTTATCAGTGATTGGAGAGGAGTCCCTATCTTCAGGAAGGTTTTTACTTATCTGCTGGAAAAAGTCAAATGTGTCGTTTTTCAATATTGGGCTATAAAAAGTGAAGTTTTATGGATTGACAAAGCAAAATATGAACATTTTAAACATGCTTAACATCAGCACATTGTTAGGTGAGTGTTACCTGGGGGGTTGCCTCTGTAAATGGACACCACGAGGAAGGTGGAGGCGCAGTACGGGGAGAAAACCACCAGGTGGCGTAACACCGTCAGCACTAACCAGACCCAGTCTGTACGGGGAGCGGTGGCAGCGGTGGCAGCGGTGGCACCTACAGAAACATTACACATTTTCCATATTTGACTACACTGAAACTTTTGGGGCCAAAAACTTAAACAACTTTTAATAAAAAACACAAATATCTGATTTACATAAAAGTTTAACCTCTTAAACATAGATTAATAACTACCACAAGTTTCAGGGTTTTGTACGTAGGACATGACTTTATATTTCCTACTTGAAATGATGTGCTTAATAAATTAACTAACCTTAACTTTACATGTCATTTTAAATAATGCCTTTATTTACAAGAAGTGCATTTAATTAAGTTATTAAAAAACCCCAAAAAGGATAAGAAAAAAACAAAACATTTCTAAATGAACCACCAGATGTCACTGTGAATGGGTACAGGTGCATCACTTTACAATCAAAACATACAATGACTGTATTTTTTATTATTAAGGACTAAAATTAGGCTATACAACCTGGAAAGTTGTGCTTAAATAATTAGTTGCGTTCATTTAATTTATTGTATTCATTTGAATTTGTATATTTTAATAAACAGAATAAATTGTATTCATAAATGGAGCAATTCTTTGAAATTCCAGTTTCCCCCCTGGCGATGAATCGGGTATTTTTGATTACTTTTATTTCCCCGACCCCTCTCACCTCTGACAAATAAGAAGCTGGTTGCAGACTCTCCTTCATTACTGATGTTACATTTGTAGACGCCTTCATCATCGTCGGAAATTTGGTGGAGGGTCATGTGACCTGCAGCCCCGGTCTTGAGGAAGGAGCCATCTTTGTAGAAATCAGCGCGGAGGTCATCGCGATCCTTTGTTCTACACATCAGAGTTACGTTGTCTCCCTTCATCACAGCGAGGATCGGACTCTCCAGGATCACCGCTGTTTCTGAACACGGAGAAACATATGTAAAAACTAGCTCGCACCTTGTGGAGATTTTAACTAAACCCACTAACTGCTAAATGTATCTGAAGCTAACTGACGAGCTAACGTTATCCTGCTAAAATCCAAAACATGCAATAAAGAATACGATGGACTTAACTTACCTGAATCTTGATCATTCAAAATAAACGTCACTAAAGCTCAACAAACCTCAAAAAATTAAAAATAATGATATAATGGTAAAGTGTACAATGTTGTGTAGCTAATTGGCAAGCTAACGTTAGCATGCTAATATCTAAAATGCGTTTAGATAAAAAGGTGCACTTGATACATCAAATTAAACGTTATTTAAATAACACAAAAAACCTCAAATAATGAAATTACGACAAGTGCAGTAGCTAACGTAGAAGCTAATATTAGCATGCTAATATCTGAAACCTGTTCAGAGAATACTAATATCAAATACTTAATTTATGATATCGTGACCTCCCTATTGTTTGTTTTCAGGAATTGATAAGTGGTTCTTTTGTATATCGGCTTTAAAAAAACTTTATTTAAAGTGGACCTATCATGCTATATTTGAATAATATATTGTAGGGCCATACCTATATAAAACATGTCTGAAGTTTTTTTTTTTCAAAATACCAAACAGATCATGCATTTAGCCATGCCTCATTTTGCTCTATTTGCTCTATTCCAGCCCTGTCTTCACAAGGGCTGATTCTGTGGCAAATGAGCTGCAACTGACCACGCCCCCTGCAAAGGAGGGGGGCGAGGCACGAGCGTCATGTTACCATGCTGTTACCATGCTGTTACCATGCTGTTACCATGCTGTTACCATGCTGTTACCATGCCACGCAACCCCTCATTCCCCTGATAGGTGGAGAGTTGGCCATACAGGCGGAGCTCCTTGTTTCTGACGTCAGAGATATTTCAAATCTGGATCAGTTTTTATCAGATCCGTTGCAGCCCCTTTTTAGAGATTTGGGTATGGAGGAAAATAGAGAGGGTTGTGTTTTCTGACACTTGGTGAGTTCCCTGGAACACCGGGGACACATATTCATGTATAAAAGACGTACAAAAGTGCATTTTGCATGATAGGTCCCCTTTAAGTTATACAAAAAGCCTCAAATAATGAAATGTACATTTCTCAAAGTTATTGAAGTGAATGTTATTTTGTATATATTGATTGTTGTGTTTTTATTTATGTCTTCAATGTGTGCATATGTACAAATATGTCTGTTGTGTATATATAGGATATACATATTTTTAATATATCTTTGTTATTGTATTCGGGATTTTGGGAAAGGGTATTTCGATCTCTCTGTCTGTACACACAAACTGAAAGATTGACAATAAAGTTGACTTTGACAAGTGCAACTGTTGTGTCGCTAACTTACAAGCTAATGTTAGCATGCTAATGATATCGTTCTTTTGTATATTGTCTTTACCCTGGACGCTGATGTTGAGGCTGTTGCTGCGCTGCTTCACCCGAGTCTCACACCAGTAGATGGCGGTGTCGGCCTGTTTGGAAGTGTAGATGTTGCAGCCACAGGAAGTGATATTCCCCCAGTTGTCTCCGCAGCCGGACGTCTTTCCTCCGGGGTTCACGGTGGACACGCCGGTGGCGCTGGTGCTGAAGGTGGTGATGGTCGACCTGAAGATCCTCCACCCCTCCACGCTGCTGTTAACCCCGCAGCTCAGGGACAGATTCCTGTACTCAAACACCTGAGCCGAGGCCGGAGAGATGACCAGCGAGGCCGGGTCCGAGCCATCTGCAAGGCAAGTTTATTAAAGGTCCCCTATTATACTGTGTTTCATCAATATATTACAGGTCTCAGATATATACAGAGCCTGTCTCTGATTGGCTGAAACACCAAACAGATCATTGCAGCATTACCCATAATCCCCTCTGTTTCAGCCCTGTTCAGTGCTGATTCAGCCTGTTACTTTAGATGAAAATAAGGTTCCCCTTCCCACGCCCCTCTGAGAGACATTTGGTTAAAAAGAACTCTAGGAGGAGATTCAGGTGATAAGGGGGGGGGGGGGTACCTTGGTTGCTGATTGGCTAATGGTTACACAAGCCAACACATTGTTATGACATCATAAAGTGGCCAAAATCTGATCAGCTCATTTTCAGACAGGTTTTTATAAAAATGGATCAGGACAAAAAAAGAGAGAATCTTTGTTCCTGAAACTTTCAGAGTCTCTTTACACAGAGGGGACACATGTTGATGAAGAAGAGACATGAAGAAGAGGGGACACATGTTGATGAAGAAGAGACATGAAGAAGAGGGGACACATGTTGATGAAGAAGAGACATGAAGAAGAGGGGACACATGTTGATGAAGAAGAGACATGAAGAAGAGGGGACACATGTTGATGAAGAAGAGACATGAAGAAGAGGGGGACATGTTGATGTAGAAGAGACATGAAGAAGAGGGGACACATGTTGATGTAGAAGAGACATGAAGAAGAGGGGACACATGTTGATGAAGAAGAGACATGAAGAAGAGGGGACACATGTTGATGTAGAAGAGACATGAAGAAGAGGGGACACATGTTGATGTAGAAGAGACATGAAGAAGAGGGGGACACATGTTGATGAAGAAGAAGAGACATGAAGAAGAGGGGACACATGTTGATGTAAGAAGAGACATGAAGAAGAGGGGACACATGTTGATGTAGAAGAGACATGAAGAAGAGGGGACACATGTTGATGTAGAAGAGACATGAAGAAGAGGGGACACATGTTGATGTAGAAGAGACATGAAGAAGAGGGGACACATGTTGATGTAGAGAGGACATGAAGAAGAGGGGGACACATGTTGATGTAGAAGAGACATGAGAAGAGGGGACACATGTTGATGTAGAAGAGACATGGAGAAGAGGGGACACATGTTGATGTAAGAAGAGACATGAAGAAGAGGGGACACATGTTGATGAGAAGAGACATGAAGAAGAGGGGACACATGTTGATGTTAGAAAAGAGGGACACATGTTGATGGTAGAAAGAGACATGAAGAAGAGGGGACACATGCTGATGTAGAAAGAGACATGAAGAAGAGGGGACACATGTTGATGAAGAAGAGACATGAAGAAGAGGGGGACACATGTTGATGTAGAAGAGACATGAAGAAGAGGGGACACATGTTGATGTAGAAGAGACATGAAGAAGAGGGGACACATGTTGATGAAGAAGAGACATGAAGAAGAGGGGACCATGTTGATGAAGAAGAGACATGAAGAAGAGGGGACACATGTTGATGTAGAAGAGACATTGAAGAGAGGGGACACATGTTGATGTAGAAGAGACATGAAGAAGAGGGGACACATGTTGATGAAGAAGAGACATGAAGAAGAGGGGACACATGTTGATGTAGAAGAGACATGAAGAAGAGGGGACACATGTTGATGTAGAAGAGACATGAAGAAGAGGGGACACATGTTGATGAAGAAGAGACATGAAGAAGAGGGACACATGTTGATGAAGAAGAGACATGAAGAAGAGGGGACACATGTTGATGAAGAAGAGACATGAAGAAGAGGGGACACATGTTGATGTAGAAGAGACATGAAGAAGAGGGGACACATGTTGATGAAGAAGAGACATGAAGAAGTGGATTTTGCATTGCCTAGACTTTTAACGGCATTGAAATGTAATTAAACTGAAAAGATGTTCATGTTGTATTTACTTATTTAGTTTGAGGTTGTTATATTTAAGTAATGTACATAAAGAGTGTATGTCCTAACCTTCCATTATTATCCAGCTCTCTGGAGACTCTCCTTTATTCTGGACTCTACACTTGTAGGCGCCTTGATTAGACTTGGTAAAATTGTAGAGGGTCATGTGACCTGCATCCTCAGCGCCGATGGAGACGTTGATTTTAAGGCCATCTTTGTAGAACTCAACGCGGAGGTTATCGGCCTTCCTTTTTCTGCAGATCAGAGTGACGTTATCTCCCTCCGTCACGGGGACGGCCGGACTCTGAAGACTCACTGGTCCACCTGAACACGAGACAAAGACGATAAAGAACTAAAGAACAGGCAAAGCCACAAACTTCTCTTGATGCTTTCCTGGATTCTTTTGAGGTGTTTTCTGGAGGTTTACAGGCTGTTAGTTTCAATAGTTTTCAAACAAAGTTGTGAAACGGCATCCGGACCTTCTTTACGCCAACACTTGAAATGCCATGTTCCCTACCCAAAGATCATGGCCACAGTTACTACAAGTATGTTTTTATAGTTACCCAACAATGCTGTACGATTTCAATAGTTTTCAAACAAAGTTGTGTTGCGGAAAGGCATCGAGACAAACTAACAAATAATAATAAAATGTGAGGAAACCTTTCCGTTACACTGAAATGAAGATTATTGGAATAAGACGGTGTTTTTGGGAGTTTATTCTTAAAGAAGGTAAATGGTCACAAAGTCAAGCAGTCTGCATCAGGGGGTCTGCAGAGGGTCTGCAGAGGGTCTGATGTTCACACCAAGAACAGAAGAAGAGGGGCTGAGACACACAGAACAGATAAACAAACTATATATAGGATTAAAACACAGCTGCTAGCAAATGGAGAAACATCATGTCTCCACTCCACAAAAGAGAAGACCACTAACCTCACAACAACAAACAGCTCTAACATTATGTACGACTCATTTGGGTTATTGCTGCTACCTGTTGGTAGAAGAAGAAGAAGAAGAAGAACAGATGGTGAACTTTAAATGCTCCTTCAGTATGATACCATTTTCCAAAGCTTTAAATGTTGGAGCCAGGTGTTTGATTGGCTGTGACGATGTGTTAGCATAACAATAGAGTTCTAGGTGTTTGCCACTCGCCTCGTCCAATGAAAAGAATTTTGAGAAAACGACTTCCCCATTTTTACTGAAACGTTGTTTATGGATAAAGCATTGGCTAAGACAGAACAGAATCATTTATTGAGCCTTTCTAATTGATCGGGCTTGAATTATTCTTATTTGTGTTAACATTGAAAGAGCTCTCCTTCGCCTCAGAGTTCTGGGAGGTTTCTAGCCTCGTCCAATAAGGAGGATTTCAACAGAACTTCTTGCCTCGTAGCTGAATATGTTTACTCTTTGGTATAAATACTTTTTCTCCAGTAAAAAATCTGAGTACATGTTTCACCAAGTAGTCATGCATGAAGCATTAGTATTCCTCGTTAAGGACTCTCTATAGGAGTGTTTCCTCTCATGGTCTGTACTTATACCAACCACTTCCTTTAAATGTAATCTGTTCCCTTAAAACAATTCCCTAGGTGTATTTCAGCCAGTCTGAAACGTGTTCAAGTTGACTCCAAATGTTGTTGGGATTATTTAACAACCAGTATTGGGAAATCAGAAAAGTCTCATTGAGGTCCGAATATGTGATTTTAAAGGTCACATATAAAAAGTTCTGAAACAGGAGCGAGAACAGAAAGTATATTTAGATTTTTGTCATGAATTGTGAATCCTACTGTTTGAGCCATTTTCCTTTCATCATTATGGTTTGAATGTTTGTCTTATTAATATAAGGCTTCAGAGTAAACTCTTAACTATTTATTTCACACTATTCTTTAACAGATGTTCATTTCAGTCTCACTTAGTTTGTTTGGAAGCAAAGAGAGGCGCGACATAACCCACAACCCCGACAGAGGAAAGTGGATAATAAATGTAGAAACGGATTAAAACGCCACGACACCTACCGACTATGGAGATGTTGACGCCGTTGCTGCTGTCTCCGTATTTCGACTGGCACCAGAACACCCCGCCTTCGGACAGCTTCACCGTGGTTATCTCACAAGTAGACCCATTTAGTTTGCCCCAGCCCGATCCACACTTCACACTGAGGAAACAACATCAGTTTATTATTAAGACGTGTGGAAATAAATCTGCTTTATTCATCTTTTGTGAAACATAAAACAGAAGAAAATTAGAAATAAGAAATAAACCGTTTTTGTTGCTTCATGAATTTTGGATTTAATATTTAAATAAAGAATATCTCAATTAATACTAAATAATACACCACTGTATATATTATATTATAAAAATGTGTACATATGTATTTACCGTAAGCCCTTGTGATGATATACATTTAATTAGTATATGTATTATTATTTTATTTATATATTTTGTATTCATTTTACTTTAATTTAATTAACTTATTATTATTATTATTTGTATTAATTTATTTAAATATATATTTTTAAGTGGGGCAACTGTCACAAAACTCAAATCTCCCCGTGGATTAACAAATATTTCTGATTCTGATTTTAGACATTTGTGCATTTCACTAAATGTGACCTTACGTAAATCTGTTAAATGTCCTATTAACAGAAGATTGTTTTATTGCCTAACTTTTCAAACATTCCCTGCATACTACAAAACTTAGGACAAAAGCGGGAAACATTGCAAATAAACTAAATATAAACAATTAGGGTTATAAATAAAGTGTGAAAAATGGACAATATGCTGGTTTTTAATGATATTATTAATGAGGTAAAACCGAGATAAGATTCATATTTTGTATCAGTAAACGTACAGGTCGGTATCGTTTCTCCACGGCGTCCATTCCCAGGAGCTCGAACTATTGCAGCTCACCAAAATGTTCTCATACTCGAAAAACTGAGAACTGTTGGGGATGACCATCACCGACGCTGAGAGAAAGAAAGAGAGAGGAACAAACCTTTCATTTATTTACAAAAAATACTCCATACTTGTTGAGACGGTTGCGTTAAACCAGGCTATTTACTGTGTTTGTGGTCAAGTACTATGCATTTTTCAGTCTAAAGAGCTGTAAAATGTCCGTAACTTTTGAAAAGTTTAATTCAAATCGATGCAGGACTTGACAGGAAATGGCCGATTGAGCGGTAAGAATTTAAAAGTCCTACAATGCTTTTCAAATATTGCAATCTAATATCAGATTTAAAAAGAGCCAGCAACAAATATGGCTACGTGATCATTGTACTTAGTTTCTTTAATTATAATATACACATTTTTACGGTATTAATTGTAGTACAATGTGCACGTTTTTACATTACATTACATTGCATTTAGTTGCCGGAAGATGTGTGCTTTCTGCTGTCCTGATGTCAATGGGGAGCTCATTCCACCATTTTGGAGCCACCTTAAGTTCTTCTGTTAATATATTTTTTTTTTTATGTTAATTTTTTTAAATTAATATTACCCACAGGAAATATTAAGTAGTCTCATTCTGATTGTAGACATTTGAACGGCTCTTTTTTTTAAATTATGTTTTTATTTGCTCAGATGGCCTCTTTTGCAACAAGCGCACAAACCGTTAAAAGACAAGAAGCGGCGAGCAACACACATTAAAGTTCATCAAGTCTTTTTAGATTTTAAATAGTCTTTAAATAATGTTTTATACAAATAGATGAGGTTTTAAAAAACTTACCACGACCGTTGACAAGCGTCTGGAAGAAACTCAACGTCACTGAAACATAAACTCACAGTTCAGATCTTGACTTTCTTTGAATTCTTTAACCAACACACGTCTATCTAAAAGTTCCCTAATTAATGGTATCCAATTAGTTCCTGGTGATTATAATTAGATTTGAATGACACTTTCTACTTTACTTACAGAGTAAATGCAGTGTTGTTCTCATGGTGTCTGTAGCTTCGCTGGACTTCTGGTCGGAAATGTGGTGGGGATCAAAATCATCGAGAATATAAACCACACGATGGTGACGGGGGAGGGGGGGGAGGAAATGATACTTGCTGACATTTTAACGTAGAGACACACATCCTCTTGTCACAAACCTCACTAAAAAGACCAACAGCCACATGAATAGCAGCAGTAAAATCGTTTTAAAGCAAAGTGTCATTGTTTCTAGCCATGATTTCTGGCTTAACTTCGGAAATCTAGAGGCGTTCTAGATACATAATCTCTCCAATAGTCTTCTGGGTCAAACCATTGGGACTTTTACCAGGAAAACCTCGACCAGGACGATCCTGATTCCCATTGTTAAGTTCCCTACCCAAAGACCATGAACACAGTTTAATAGTTGGTATCTGCTATCCAACAATGCTGTACGATTTCCAACACAATGGGCCTACATTTAAGGGAACAAAGGTCATAGCCTGATGCTAGAAACATGGCCTACTGGTCTTGTTTAAGGACATTGGGAACATTGGAATAAACCTTACTAAACTAGCTAAGTGACATTTAAAGTGGACTGGTTTAATTTATTCTCCAGGCTTCAAAGCTTTCGTTGCTGCAGGACAAGTCACTACTCGGAGGACGCCATGATTGCAAGCATTAAAGATCTGTGAGAGGATTACTAAACCACAATGTTTTGTGCATTTGTTGCATTTCTCATATCTCGATATGCAGCAACACATTTGACAACCAAAGCAAATCCACCTTTCTCCAGCAGAGTGCCATGGTTTTAGACCTTAAAGTTGAAGTGAACAGAACCACATCATCTGCAGAGAGAGACAAACTTCTGCCTCCACAAATAGAAACTCTACTCCTATAAAGATCAAGATTGATAACCTCTACAGCAGGGTTAGCTTAGCTTAGCATACAGACTGTAAACAGAGGGAAACACCTAGCATTGCTCAGACCAAACTCCAGGTCCAGCTCCCCTTAAACCCGCTGATTAACTAAACTAATCAATAAAAGCCCTCAAATTAAACTTGAATGTCAATAACTACCCGCTCTCTTACACACCTGTTCAAATCTGCCTACTCACTGTAGTGCTACCCCATTATATGTTTCATTGTGTCCACTTGATTGTCTCCTCCATTTCATTTCATTTCAATCTTTATTTCGAACAGATAAAAAAAATAACAAAGGAAAAAATAACAATGTGAAAAACAGAATACCGTATTGTTAAAATACAAGTATTTATCCACATTATGATATTATTTATATATTCCAACAAAAGTCTTCATATTAATAATAATAATAAATCATGTGTCTGAAAGGGAGTAGGAGGAAGCAAATGCTTATTAATTCCCACCCCTTACTTGATCAATGATGTCCTTAAGTCATTATGCAAGTTATTCCTACTTACATTTACATTTATACATACACAATAATGTCTCATCTTCAGTCACCTCTCTGCATTCTCATAGTTTTCCAAAAAGTGTTTCTGTACATCCTTTTAAAGTGAATTATGCTTTGTTTGAACTCCTGCTCCAAACCGTTCCATAAAATCACCCCACAGATTGTTATACTTGTACTTCTCACAGTTGTTCTGACCTTGAGTTGTTTCAAATGTAGATTTCCTCTCAAATGATACCTCTCTGTCTACGAACAATGTTTTTAATTTCCTAGGAAGTAGATTATGTCTTGCTCTGTACATGATCTGTGCCGTTTTAAATGTAACCAGATCAGTGAACTTCAATATGTGTGACTTCAGAAATAATACATTAGTGTGTTCAAGATATCCAACATTATCCATGATTTCCTGTTTGTGTTTTTATCAGGTTCTGTTGCCTATTAGCGTTTTCTTTTTTAACAAATCGTACGGTGTCCTTGGGTGTCATGAAAGGCGCCTAAAATAAAATGTATTATTATTATTACTGGTCAAATGCCAAAAGGTTTGAGTTAATAAATATTGAGTATTTTTTTGTTTTATAGTATTAGTGCTGTGTTCTTTCAGGCTATAGACCTTTGGACACCACGAACCTAACTACCTCTCCAAGAGGTTTCGTTGTTGCTTGGACGCATTTTCATTTAGAACATTACATTGTAACAGTTCTTTGATATGATCTGGCCCCTCAGTACCAGATCCCCCCCCCATTAGCTTGTATATCCTGTTCAAACTGGTTTCTGCCCAACCCTGTGGTTTACTTGCAGACGTCTGCAGTGTGGTCTGAGGTGTGAGTTTGCAGCAGCAGATGGAAACAGGAAAACTCTCAGTGTTTGTACAAGATTACGCTAAAGTGATTTATATTGTTGTTAGTGCTATTGAGTTCTATCACATAAGTATTACCCAGACAGCATTACCTGTATGGTTTCCACGTAGTTTGTCTTCATTGAAGAGGTCCATTTTGTAAATATTAGTAAGAGACTTAAATCTGCTTGTTGAAAACATTGTTGTATTTTTTGGTAAAAATGGGTAAAGACGTAAGGATTGTAGGTATGGGATGGCCAAAGAGGAGCTGTGACCTGAATACTTCCTTCACTTATGTCTGCTTGTAAAAAAGTCATTTCAATACAAGATTTGGTTGGTGGGATTAATGGATTTGGATGTCAAACAGGAAATTACCCTTTTGTAAAAAGAAATCTATGTTTTCCTCGAGTTTTTCCCCAAATGTTTTAAGTTCTCTCTTGTAAATTAACCAATAGAAAAATATAAAAAACAAAATCACTAAAATATTTAACTTTTATGTTCAAAATTCTCAGTTTGTTCTCGCAGTATGACACCTTCTCTTGTCTCCGTCAAAAACAAGAGAAATATCATTAGATTATGATTTTTCAAATCAGTGAATCCTCACCGTAAATATGCTATTTGCATACCAGCTGTATATAGAATTCGGACACTAAATGTTTGATGTGTTGGGCATAACAACTGAGAATATTAGCTTAAAGGTGGGGTAGGTAATTTTGGAGAGAAACCAGCTCAAGTGCGTAGAATTTGAAAATACACAGCCGGAAAAAAATCTCCCACTTCCTTACTGAGCCCCTCCTCCAACACACACGAACGCGCACATGACCAATAGAGTGGCGAAGTCCCTCCCCTTCCGGTGGACCTCCATGGGACCTTATTTCGGAAAAATTATGTATTGAAGTCAATGGAGAGAGAAAGATTATCTTTCGATCCCGTTTGAATTGTGCCACGAATTACACATATGATGTTTGTCAATTTAAAAGATAATTTTGCAAGTCAAAAAAAAAAAAATGTGTCGTAAAACTGTGAAGTAACACATTTGTTTGTGTGAAACGCTCAATGACCTACATCTCTGGTCAACAACACACGTCACCAAGATGGCCGTCACTAGCCCTAACCTTGTATAAAAACCCACTCATTGTTGATGTTTAATTTCTATGCGAGCTTTATTGTCATTTAATTCAACAACTCTGTTTTACCTTTGCTCTAGTGGGCTTGTTTTCCACCATGCTTTCTGCAGGTGTAGGTGTTATATCCTCTGCACACATGCTGATCGTAAACACATCATTTGACATCAAGCCTTCGACTTCAGGTGAACTCTGGCATTACTGACATGAACATGTGAAAAAACCACAAGCCTTTTTTCTTGTTGAGTTGTGTGTCTACATCATCCCAATTTATTTTCAAAGACTGGCCTGTTTCCTCTACTGTCCTGTGATGTTGTTTTAGTGCCAGAAGCTTTCATAAACTTGTTTATCCAGTTTTTAAGTCACATTTTTACATCTTGGTGCTGTTTAAAGAAGGGTTTTAGTGATGGGACTTCTGGATCTGAAGTTACCAGAGAAACAAGCTTAGCTAACGTTAGCAGTTAGCTAGCAATTCTTCCATCCCAATTCAACCAAACTGCATCAGAAAAATACAAATTGTCAACGTGAAATAGCTAAACAATTACATATTGTACGTTTAAATAAAGCGGCAACCCTGATGACTTTAGGTAACAATGTTTATTTTAAGTTTTTATTAAGCTTTTATAAAAAGAGCATGAAACAAATCACAGTTTATTACAATAATTCTTGAAAATTATCTTAAAATTACAATAATAGTGGAAGCAATTAATAGAATTAGATTAGATTGATTAATTTCTGCTTCTACGTGAAATATTCCCTCATTAATCCAGTTCTGACTGATTGTATGCTTAAATAATGTCAACTTGTTAGCCGCTAACTAAAGTACCTGCTCAGCTAATTACCATTAGCGCCCTATAACACCAACAGGAGTGCTTGTTGGATCGTTAAAAAGTGTCTGAAACACCCAATTTTGGATGCTGGGTTTGAACGCCTCTCACCTTATCTTTTATCATTCATCATACAAATATTTCGGTAACTTTTCATATGAACAAGAGAGTGCTACGTCAATAAAAATATCTGAAAATAAACTCCATGTTTAAATGATATAAGAGAAAACGAGAAACAGACTTTAGGCGTGGTCGGACAACTTTGTACAAGACTTCGTAAGAACGTCTATGCAACATACAATCATAACAAAAACTGATAAATAGTAACTATACCAAAAATCTAAGTGTTACATATAAAAACAGTTTATGCATTGTATCTCCTTATGTTGACAACTTCTTTTGATAGTTACTAACTTGTCGTCGGTTTGAAAATGTTAATAAATTAGCTTCTGCAGTCGTTGCGTCATATACAGCCAAGCTAATGCTTAAATAGCTAGTAAAAGCTAGCATGAAAGTAACATACAGTATATAAATGTTTACAAGTATATATGCACCTGAAAAAGGTTTGAAGTTAAGAAATATAAAATAGCTTTCTGTAGTTTGTCCAATCAGAGGCCTCATAGCTGCTCTCGAGGGGCCGTGTTGACTTTTTCTTGACCAATCATGTTGCGGCTTGATCTGTGGCTCCGCCTTCTGCATCATCTGTTGGGATTTAAGTTAATTATTAAATCAAAGTTATTTAAGTGATTTGCATAATTGAATTATTTCCACAAGTCTGTAAACAATTTTTACATTCTTGTGAAATGTCCCTGTATGTGAAAACCTACATGGAGATAAAGCGGACTCGGATGCATTGTGAGGACTTTTTGCCCGGTCCTCATTATGTGTTTGTGTGAGTATGTGTGTGTAGTTGTGTGTGTGTGCTGACCTTTGACCTGTCGGTCCAGGAGGCGTGGTCCTGCCAGTCCGATACCAAGCGCTCCGATGGGCGCTGTTACCAGGATTGCTAACACGGCTAACGTTAGCACGTCCAAACCAAACTTAATCAAGGTCTCGTCACCCTCCTCCCTCGCCATGTCCAACGCCTTGGAGCCAATAGCAGCCTGGAACACAAACAAAACATTTTAAAATCCATATATATTAACTGGATGTGGACATGTCTCATTGAGGAGGTTCTGGCGGTTCTTTTATTGGGTTCTAGGTGGATATTGGGAGGTGTTTATGATCATATATGTCCTTGAAGTAATCTCATGGCGTCATTGACAAGGTTTAAAGATCCTATAGTAGGTTTTAGGGGTAATTGATTAAGCTTTAATCATAATCGAAGAGGTTATAGAGGTCGTTTGAAGAGTTCTAGAGTTACCTTGGAGATTTGTAATGCTCATATGCTGATTAGTTTATTAGCTGATAATGGTACCTGGCCACTCCTTGATGTCCATAAATTCCAGAAAACCAATCATTAACGTCATGGGGATTAAACCAGTTCTTGTATACAGTGTATGTCTTTCTAGGAGGTTGTAGGATTCCTGGAGGTGGGTGTACGGTAGTCTATCTGTCTATAGTCATTATTTTACCCATTATTCAAGGTAAAGTAGTAATAAAGAAGGTGGTATTGATCGTTTTGGTGGTTCACACACACACACCTGTACGGTGGCTTTTGGCAGCCAGGCCACAGAGATGAAGATTTTCTCCTTCAGGTTGAATCCTGCGAAGTGAACCAGCGCGAAGGTGACGAGCAGACGGATCACCAGACCAATGCTGATGCAGGCCAGACCCAGACCTGAACACACCGACAGAAGAGTGTTAAACTTCCTCAAGTCGTACATAAACTGTTCAAAATTTTGGAAAGTAAAGCTATAGGCCAAGTCATACTTCAAATCCTGCAATTTTATTCCACACGTTTGCACCTCTAGCTAGTTTGCTTAGAATAAGAAGCTAACTAACTGAATGGTTGTTTTGAAGAGCTTCCCCCAGATTGGGAATCAGTGTTCTAGGAGGTAATAAAGACCATCATATTGAAGACTGTTATTTTTGTATATAATGATTGGTGCTTTTATTTAGGTCTTAATGTGTGCATATGTATACATGTGTCTTTTGATTGTGTATATATAGGATATACATATTTGCATACATATTTTTATATGTATTTGTTTTTGTAATCGGGATTGTGGGAAACGGTATTTCGATCTCTCTGTTTGTACACACAAACTGGAATATTGACAATAAAGTTGACTTTGACTTTGACAAAGAGGTTCAAGAAGTCTTATAGGAGTGTCTAGTGGTGATTAAAAAAGTTGAAGATCACATGTAAAACTCAAGGACAAATCCAGCGTCTCCCAAATGTTTCAGTTGCCTATATATCAATCTAGCCCAACGTAAAGAGCATGAGTTAGCAATAACACTGTTTGTTTGTACGGTTCTCATGGCTCTTACCCACGGTGCTCGGGCTCAGGCTTGCTATTCTGATCTCTGCTCCAATCAGACCAAAGAGAAGCGGCTGGAAAACATCCCAGGACCGACCCACCATGGCCGCCACCGGAGCCTGAAGATAAACATGAACAACTTAAACAGTCCGGACTAAAAGACGTAGTGTAAACAGGTCAAGTAAGTAAGTCATTTTGTCTTAATTTACATTATTTAATTTCATATTCTATTTACATGTATATACACTTTTTATTTTGTATTTTATTATATATGTTGCATTGTTGGAGGAGCTCAGGTCAGAAGAATTTCATTGCCATTTCTACACTGTAGCTTATGTGCATATGACAATACAACTTTGAATCTTTGAATCAAGTGTTTCATCCAGATTAAAGTGAGATATCTTGTGTGTTACCTTTTCGGTTTTCCAGCCCAGAGCAGCCAGAAAGGCCAGCACCAGCGTGGAGAGACCGCCTGCTCCGGCAAAACCAATAACGTGGCTGAAGAAGACCGAAAATATAGAGAGACCCAACAGCAGGATAGTCCTCGTCAGAACCAGGTCCTCCTGCAGACAGACGGAGAACCATTTAATAACTCATCTATGATTCACCTGTAGTGTCTCGATCTAAAACAGCACAGCAGCTCAGGAACAGACCCAGGATCAGCCAGGCTATGACCAACCCACCACCTATTTGATTTGATTTCTGAACAATTTAATTTCTTCTTGCAACATTTGATTTACAACTTTATTTAGTTTTTCATCATTGTTTTCATCATTTTAATCAGCACTCACCTGGTCGTTGCTGGGGAAGCAGCAGAGGAACAGACCCAGGATCAGCCCGGCTACGACCCCCCCCACCACCTCCAGCAGACCCTTCAGGATGTTCATCCACATGGCCCCTGCAGGACAAACATGGTATATATAGACCAGGATAAAACCAAATCAAATAAAACCAGTATATTCCCCTCTACAGACCTGTGGAGAAGGTGATTCCCAGACAGGTGGAGAACCCAGTTATGGCCAGAATATCGTCAAAACTCCCAGCAGCCATCAGGAGGGTTGGGATTCCCTGGACAACAACACAGAACATCATGGAACATCTTATAGATTAGAAAAATACGTTCACAGGGACTTCAGTTTGATACGGGCAGGTTGTAGGGGTCACTGTGGTTTTTCATTTGGAGGTCCCGAGGGTTCTTGGTGCTCTATTCTTGAATTGAAGGAATTCTAGAGGTTTCTTTGGATATTCCAGAAGTCCGTAGTTTTTTAATGCAATAACTCTTCTTTCCTGTAGGTCTTTTCTGAGGTTCTACGGTTTCTAGAGGCCTTTTGTTTTTAGATTCTATAGATTCCATTGGTTTTTGTACTCTGTCACGCCCTGGCTCAAGGACGGACAAAAGAAGACCACACATGATTCATATTGAATTAAAGTACATGTATTTAAAGAAACTAAGTTAACTATGAAGTCAGTTAAAGGTGGGGTAGGTAAGTTTGAGAAACCGGCTCGAGATACACTTTTTGTTATATTCCATGGAATGCTCTTAACATCCCGATAGCAATGAATATCTGAAGTGCTTTGACAAAAAATCCATAAATAAATGTCATCTGTGGAAGCTGTAGTACTGTAAAAAGCACGACCAATCATTTTAGCCGGCCCAGCTAAAATAACTGGATGGCCTACCTGCCTGTCAGCCTTCCATCTGTGCACAAACTTATCTCGTGCCCTCATTGGTCATGTGCGCGTTCGTGTGTGTTGGAGGAGGGGCTCTGGAAGGAAGTGGCAGATTTTCTCCGGTTGTGTATTTTCAAATTCTAGCGATCTCGAGCCGGTTTCTCAAACTTACCTACCCCGCCTTTAAGGACATAAGGAGGCCCTCATTGTAGTAATGTTTGCAGAGCGGCTCCCCCTGGTGGCAGAATGCAGAACTACAGGTGATCCGTTTACCTTCTCCACGCCCAATCCTTCCTTCTGCAGCAGCAACATGGAGGGGACCACGACCGCCGGGGACACCGCAGCCAGGACGAAACTACACACACACACACACACACACACACACACACACTTTAATACACTGTAGTTTACATATTTATCCCAGCGGCTCAGGAAGAAAGCCCACAGGATTACAAAACTGTTGACACCTGAACACCTGAACATCCACAACATTCATCTGTTTGCAACTTACAAATTATTTATCTAATATATCATATTCCAATTACTTGTATACAGACTCTTCTTGCACTATTTCTATTTTATTTGTATTTACTTGCACTATTTGATCTGTTTTGTTGTGTTGCTCTGTTGGAGGAGCCGGTGACCTCATTTTCATTGATATATAGACCCTCCAGAAAAACGCGGGCTAAAATCCTTGATTATGCGGGCTAAAATCCTTGATTATGCGATTAAACATGCGGGGTTTTTATGTGATTTTATGCGGTGAAGTTGCGAAATATGCGGAAATATGCTAAATATGCGAAAAGTTGCGAAATATGCGGGAGGCGGAAAAAAGGTGATTCTTCTCCCACACCCTGTTACTAGGCTACTACTGATTGAAAGTGAGCCCTTTTAAAGAGTTCCTATGATAAACAAGCATACTAGAAGCAAGCTACATCACAAAGTGTTATTTATGTATTTATATATGGGCTATTTTAATCACTCTCTCTCACACACACACACACACACACACACACACACACACACACACACACACACACACACACACACACACACTCTTCTCCGCCTCATTCTGTTTTCATTTACTCGTTCGTTATCTGACCAGCTTCAATCTTGTAGGCTACTCACCTCGTTTCTTGTAGCCCTCGAAAGGGTTTTGGAGGTTGATGCCTCGGTGAACGCGAGTTGTTTGGCTTTCTTGTCCGCAGCAGCAGAAAACATTTTCGAATGTTTGAATGAATCAAAGTGGGTCGTCACCGTCGATTTTCTCTTATGCTCCAACACACAGTTGCACGGGGTGCAGAATAGTTTCCCCCCACTTTCGTGCAAGACATCGGGGTACTGCTTTGCCCGGTCTTTAGCAGAAATGTTCGTAGGCAAATGAGATGGATTCGATTTTTTCATCTTGGTCAGAGCCGTATAATAGTATAATAGTATATAATAATAATAGTATAATAGTATATAATAATCTATATGGCGCTGATCTTGTTGTTTTCTCTCTCGTGTGAGTTCCACACATTCACTCTACGGTGTTGTTTACCTGCGCGAGCTGATGACATCACTTCTTCACGTTAACTTTTTTTTCCCTCAACTTTGTGTGGAAAAATGCGGGGATTATGCGCCCTTTTAATAAATATGCGCCCTTTTAAAAATCTGCGCCATTTTGCTGATTATGCGGTAAATTATGCGATCGCATAATCGCGTTTTTCTGGAGGGTCTAGATATATCTACTGTAGCTGTACACATGACAATAAAAGCCTTGAAACTTGAACCTTGTGTGTGTGTGTACAGTATGCTGTGTGTGTGTGTGTGTGTGTGTGTGTGTGTGTGTGTGTGTGTGTGTGTGTGTGTGTGTGTGTGTGTGTGTGTGTGTGTGTGTGTGTGTGTGTGTGTGTGTGTGTGCAGTATGCTGTGTGTGTGTGTGTGTGTGTGTGTGTGTGTGTGTGTGTGTGTGTGCACGTGTGTGTGTGTGTGCACACGTGTGTGCGTGCGTGTGTGTGTGTGTGTGCGTGTGTGTGTGTGTGTGTATGTTACCCCAGGATGAAGCCCCACACCCAGGGAAGCCCCAACAGGAAGTGAGAAACCACGGCCACGACAGAGGCCTCCACCACGCAGGGGCCGACCGCCAGACGCACGCACACCGCCTTCAGACGACTCAACGCCTAAAGACACACACACACACAATTATAAGTATAGTATGCAGTATATTTACTGAGTGTTCAGTGGTTGAAAACGTACCCAGGTACTGTACTTAAGTAAAATAAATAAAATGCTCTAAAAACAAGCCATTATAAGTAAAAATCCTGAACTCTGAAGTGTTATTTTATTTTTGCATTTTTACAGCTATTTTTGCAAACTTGTATATATTCTTTCAAATGTTTATTATGTTTGCCCAACTAAATGTTTTGCATTTTTCTCTTTTGCTATATTACAGTACATGAATATTTGCATATTTGTAGTTATTTTTGCATTATTTAGTTATTTTCTTGATTGTATTTATTGTGTGTGTGTGTACCAAGGGGCCCAGTCCCAGTCTGGCTCGGGTCAGGATGATTGAACGTTACTTAAGTAGAAGTTCATTAGTATAGTTAGCTTAATACTTAAAACAACATTTAAAAAGTGTTATTACAGCTATTTTAGCATTTCTTTATTTACCTTTTCAAAATGTTGAATATGTTTGTCTAATTACAGTTTCTGTATATATTTGTGTTGCTATATTTCAGACATTTTGGCACTATTGTAGTTATTTTCTTGATGTTATTTATTGAGTGTGTGTGTGTGTGTGTGTGTGTGTGTGTGTGTGTGTGTGTGTGTGTGTGTGTGTGTGTGTGTGTGTGTGTGTGTGTGGTGTGTGTGTGTGTGTGTGTGTGTGTGTGTGTGTACCGAGGGGTCCAGGCCCAGTCCGGCTCGGGTCAGGATGACTGCCAGCGCGATGTTCCTCAGCGCTGCAGACCAGTGAGTGTCGATGTAAACGGCGTCCGTGACGTACGGGACGTTACGCAGCAGCAGGCCGGCCAGCAGCATGCCTGCAACACGGGACAATAAATCATTTAAACATATTTTATTATTTATATTTAAAACACATTATTGGGTCATAAATATTATTTTTTCTTTAATGTTTTTTTATTATTAAATTATTAAATGTATTGTTTTATATATATATATATATATATATATAACTTTATTTTAATTTTGTTTATTTAATTTTATTAGGATTTATTACATTTATAGTCATATAAACATTTATAAATATGATCAAAATATAATAAACAAATATATCTATACTTTTGTCATATTTTCTTGAATAATTTATGTCATCTAATATTTTGAAAACAATTATTCGAATGAAATGTAATAATTTTTTATGTCAGTTTTATTGGGTATTCCTTTAGAGAGGTGTGAGGTGTTGGGTCGTACCAAGTAGAGGAGGGAAGGGGGGGAGCGTGGGCAGCTGGATCATACCAACCAGCTTCCCCCCGAGCACCGAGCAGAGGAACAGAACCACGAGTCCAAAGAGGTTTCCTCCAGGTAAACACTCACTTCCTGTTATAGACCACACCACCCCGAAGAGCAGGGCGAACACACACCCTGCACACACACACACACACACACACACACACACACACACACACACACACACACACACACACACACACACACAACACACACCACACACACACACACACACACACACACACACACACACCAGGGGAATGTTACTCATAGTGCAAGAAATGTTTTTAATATTTCCAGAACAAATTGAATTGTGCAAACAAATAAAATACAGAGACACACACACACACACACACACACACACACACACACACACACACACACACACACACACACACACACACACACACTCACTCACTCACCTTTCGTGATGACGAGGTTGAGGAGGCCTCGAGGTCGGGGACATTTGTTCTTCAATCGGATACAAGACGAGCAGCAGGAGTCGGCCATCTTTATCTGCTGACAACATTAGCCACATTAGCAACATTAGCCACATTAGCAACATTAGCCACATTAGCAACATTAGCCACATTAGCAACATTAGCCACATTAGCAACATTAGCCACATTAGCCACATTAGCAACATTATCCACATTAGCAACATTAGCCACATTAGCAACATTAGCCACATTAGCAACATTGATGACAACTTTAAACAACAACAGAAACAATGATAGCAACTTTAGCATGAGAAACAAACTTTAGCAACATTGATGATCACTCTAACAACTGTAGCATTAATGACAACTTTACTGAGCAACTTTATGAACTGCAACACTGATGAAAACAGGTTGCCATGAATCCTTAATATCAGAGTTTCCTTTCTGTATTTCTACTCACATAGTCTGAATAAATATATTGAACAACTAAGGGTTGATTTTCAGGATTGATTGCTTACTTAGCCCTATATCAGTATAGCATGAATAATAATCACACATCAGTCATATTTGTTATGAATAGTCATTTATTAAATATGAATACAATGGTAGTCCCAAAAACAGTTTCTGTCGTCAGAAAAGCACAGACGGACGTCACACTTGGTGCATTGTGTGTTTGTGTACCCTCCACTGCAGTGTCTGCAGCGTCCTCTCTTGGTCTTCACTGGACAATGTGCCACTAGGTCCTTCCGTACATCCAGTGGAGGCTGTGATCTCTTGGATGGGGCCCCGTTTGATGGGGCCCCTGAGGATGGTCGTCCTCTCTTTGGTGTATTCATGGGAGTTGTGTTCACCTGATTAGAACACAAATACATTAGGATACAAGTCAAAAATATTACAGTGAAATATAAAAAAATATTACAAATGGCAAATAGCAGAAATGCATTCTTACCAGGATGAGAGAGGATGCTAGATCTGCCTGAAACTGTCTCCTGTTCAGGATCTCCTGCTTTGCGATCTTTAGAGCGCTGCAGTCCCGCTTGTAGAGGAGCGCTGATCACAGCAAGGATGATGGTGTGCCAGAAGATGTACACGTACCAGCGTCGGGACTTCATGGGGAACTTATATTTGGCCGTAAACGAGTCCAACAAATTCACACCTCCCATGTACTTGTTGTACGTAGCCACAATGGAAGGCCTCTCAACTTCTACGTAGGTTTTGTTGGCTTTGTCCCAGCGTTGAATGTTGTGCACAGGCTGTGGTCCAGCAAAGGATGAGACAAGTGTGACCGCGTCATACCATTTGACAGCACAGATGTTGTGGTTGGTCTCCACTCGGATGTCAAAGCTTCCTCTCCCTTTTTTCTTCAAGCTCTTCTCCTCTTCAAGGTTGCAGTTGGGTTCAGTGTTGCCAACTTGGCGACTTTCTCATTAAATTCGGCGGCTTTCCAAACCCTCCGGCTACTTATTTTTGTCAAAAGCGACTAACGACTAATTTAACGACTTGTAATGGTGTTATTAGGGACTTTTCTGGTGTTTGGAGACTCACATATTGTTCAGTAGTTAACGAGCCGCGGGTGCTGCCGTGAGCCCCTCTGCCCTCCCATAGTACTCACAGGCGCTCAGACTCACAGTTGCCTCCCGCAGCAGCTCAGCTGCAGTCAGAGCAGAGAGGAGACAGCCACACTCTCCCGCGTCGAGACGGCAAATGAATTGCTCATGAGCGGGATTTAAATGTGAAATGTAAATGTTTCTTCACTGTCACACTATAATAAATAACTGCCTTTGCTTTGCTTTGACTCACACAACTTGGGTAAGCTCACCTGCCTGGCTCTTCCCACATAATGAATCCCGTGATCAAGGAGCTTCACTACCAATGGGACACAGGTGAAGTAGTTGTCTGTGTAGATCTTATAGTTCTGACCTACTGGAAGCGTGGAGGCAAGCTTTATCACAACATCACCCGACAATCCTGGTTCAGACTTGGCTCGTATCCCATTGACACCGCCTCGGTACACTTCAAAGTCAGATCATTCCAGAGACTCCAGTTCTCACCCACACTTTGAACCCCCATGGGTGTGGCTTGCCTCGCATGTAAGGAATCATCATCTCATCCACAGAGTTGTGTTCTTCTGGCACCACCTGCAGGCATTTCTCTCTGAATGTATCACAGGGTCTGAGTTTCCAGAGTTTGTATTTCTTTTCCATCTCTGAAACTGTCAAGTTGTTTACAAAATGTAATGATGTCAACAGATATTGTAATCTGTTGCGTGCCATCACATCAGAAACAGGCGGGTACCGTGTCTGTCTCCCTATACATACTGACTCCAGACATTTCTGGCTTAGCCTATTATCATAATAAAAGCAATACCTCCACCCACACATGCAGGTAAACCAGTTCAACAAGTCACACAATGCTGTCTGGCTAATGCTAACAGGCTAATTCTCATACTAAAAGGGATCCATCCAAGTGTCCCAACACATCTCAGAAAGAACTGTTTCTGCCAGAACCAGAGAAGAGTTCAATGAATTGTTGTAACTAATTAACTGATAAGATACAAGTAGAGTTTATGAATATGAATATATTCCACATAAACTAAATATGTACATGTTCTAGACATTGTAATAATCACACAAAAAGTATTTGAGGCATTTGACTTACAGTACTTGAATCTGACAAATCCAGTCCAATAAAACAAAGAGATGTTGCTCGTTTGAAGATTGGGAAGTTGTGTGAGTGTATGTCCAGAGGGCAGGACCTATCAACACATGTACTACCCAGTAGCAGAGAGGCTGAACAGAAGGACCTTTGACTTTGTAAATGTAGTCTTTAAAAAATAAAACATTTACTGACTTTTTTAGGATAGCTTAAAGTAATGTTGTAAAATGACAACAGTGGGCCTTACAGGGTTAACGTTTTATTTCAACAGATTTCTGAAACATGGAACGTCTCCTTCTGGATCTCTCTGTTCCAGTGAGGGAACGTCTCCTTCTGGATCTCTCTGTTCCTGTGAGGGAACGTCTCCTTCTGGATCTCTCTGTTCCAGTGAGGGAACGTTGGTATTTTAGGCAACATTGCTCTTTAACTTTGCAACTCATTTTCTCCGTCATCATAACTCAGAAACACACCTCAGTTTGCAATCAATACATGACAGCAAACATTCAGCAGAAGTTGCAGAGAATTTAACATTTGTAACTTTTCTTCAGTTTGAATATGAGTTCTCTGAAACCAGGAGCTGATCAAAGATAATCTGCTTACTTTAATAAAGAACAGTTTGAACCCAAGGCAACAACTCACTTCCTGTTGCTATTCAATCACAACTAAACAAAAGCTTTATTTACTTCTTTTTGGTTTTAAGTTGGCGTGGTTCTTATAGCATTGAAACACACACACTCTCCTCTACACGCTCACACACACATATTTAACATGGAATTAAAACCTGAGGATGTCCAGGCAGTAGAGTGGAGACTGGCCACATATTTTTGGGCTAAAATATGCACATTTCTCGTTGTTTTTTTTGCACATTTTCTATAAATAGTTGACTTTTTCACAGGGTTATCTGATGGCAACTCCATGTGTGTGTGCTTGTGTGTGTGTCTGTGTGTGTGTGTGTGTGTGTGTGTGTGTGTGTGTGTGTGTGTGTGTGTGTGTGTGTGTGTGTGTATGTGTGTGTTGACCACTCACCTCGTCCAGTTCGTCCGTCGTCCTCCTCGGCAGGACGGTGATCTCTCTGTCCTCCTGATCGACCTGAACTTTACACCCTCCCTGTGTGTGTGCGTGTGCGTGTGCGTGTGCGCGTGTGTGTGTGTGTGTGTGTGTGTGTGTGTGTGTGTGTGTGTGTGTGTGTGTGTGTGTGTGTGTGTGTGTGAATTAGTCACAAAAGGGACATGAAGGGTGTAAAAGAGAGGGAGAGAGAGAGAGGGACAGTGAATAAAGGAGTTGAACTTTGTCCACCAAACTGGCCATGGGTGTGTGTGATCTTGTTTTACTGTATTAGTGAGGTCCGTCCTAAAAACACAATAGCATTGTGGGGACCGGTGGTTGGTGGTTTTTTTGCCAATATTTTTTTTTTTTAAATAAAAGCCTCATATACAGTCCCACGTCTTTTTGATTGAATCTCAGCATTTTTCAAGAGGGAAACAAACACACAGATTCTCACGTTTGTTCTTCCTCTTTTTCTTTCCATCCATCACTCTCAGTCTGTCAGTTCATAAAAAAGAGGTATTTGTTTATAACATTAATTATTAAACCAGCAGATACACTCACTCACCTCTGTGTGTGTGTGTGTGTGTGTGTGTGTGTGTGTGTGTGTGTGTGTGTGTGTGTGTGTGTGTGTGTGTGTGTGTGTGCGTGCGTGCGTGCGTGCGTGCGTGCGTGCGTGCGTGCGTGCGTGCGTGCGTGCGTGCGTGTGTGTGTGTGTGTTTGAACTTATTATCATTACTTTATATCAAGACATACAACTGTAATTTAGATTCATTTCATTTCAATTTAATTTGATTTATATGTAAAAAAATGTACAAAATAAAAAAATATATATAATAGAAAATATGTATAAAATGATTTTAAATATATGAGACATGTGGTAAAATAACTAAAGTAAAACCAAAATGTCTACATGAAGAAAATAATGCTTTTATAAAGTTTGTTGCTGATAAATAAGTTATGTTTTGTACCGTGTTCACCTGTAGTGTTGTTAAGGCCAGGCAATTCATTTGTATAGCACAATTCATACAGTGATGCAATTCAAAGTGCTTTACAGGATCAAACAGATAAAACACAAAACATTTGAGTATGCTCAAAGTGAGAAGAAATACAAAAACACCCAAAACAATTAAAAAAAAGCAAACCATGTTTAACAGTTCAAAAAATAGAAAATTAAAAAGCCATGTTAAAAATAAATGTTTTTAAACCTGATTTAAATTATTCTAACGCGCTAGCCATTCTCAGATGTTCTGGGAGCTTGTTCCAGGCTTTAGGAGCATACATGCAGAAAGCTGCTTCCCCACGCTTTGATCTAATGGAACAGTGAGCCGGCCTGAAGACCTGAGGGGTCTGCTGGGATCCTACCGCTGAAGGAGGTCCTTGATATATGTGGGTTCTAGCCCGTTTAGTGCTTTATTTTAAAAGTGTGCAATAACATCTTAAAATCAATTCTCTCACTCACTGGAAGCCAATGCAGCGATCTCAGCACTGGAGTGGTGTGATCTGTTTGTCCGGGTTAACACTCTGGCAGCAGCATTTTGAGTTAGTCGGAGTTTACGGAGTGATTTCTTTGTGAGGCCTGTGAAGATGCTGTTGCAGTAGTCGAGCTTGCTAAAAACAAATGCATGGACACGTTTCTCAAGGTCCTGCTTGGACATAAGGTCTTTAATACGCGAGATATGTTTTAGATCAGTGGTTCTCAACTGGTGGGTCGCGACCCAAAAGTGGGTCGCGGACCCGTTTCAAGTGGGTCGCGGATGTGTGAGTGAAGAAAAAAAATAGAAAAAAAAAAATTGGAATTTTTTTTTTTTTTTTTGGGAAAAAAGGCAAACTTTTATTTTTGAAGGACCGATTTTCTAACGCTGTGCATGCAGTAGGCGTTGGACTGGAAGTACCGGAGACCATAAACGGTTTTGAAAACTTCTGTCCCGTAGTGATCATCTTCTCAATAAAACATCTCTGCTGATGTTTTTTCGAGTCTTCTGGCCAATCAGAATCAAGATTGTTGCCGGAAGTCCCCACGGAAAATAACTTAGCGGTAGAACTATTCTTTATACATCCATGGGTACAACTTCAGATAGAAATGAACACATAATGAAATATGACCCCCGGTTTGATGATTGACAGGTCACAGAACAATGGGAGCTATCTACCCTTACCCACAATTTAAAGTAAGTCACACAGACTCTCTCCTCTTTGCTCTTCTCTCAGCAAGCTGTCAGAACTAAGTGAAAAACAAACAATGGCATAAAATATTATTAATATGTATGATTTATTTATTTTCTTCTCAGAGTGTACCAGAATGCGTAGTTTATGTTAGTATTTCAAAAAATCTCCTGGGGGAGAATCCCCCCAGACCCCCCTGCTGGGGTTGGGTTTTCAGCATGTGTGCCTTTTTATATAGTTCAGCTTTGATTCCATCATCTCATTAAACCTTTTTTAAAAGCATACTTTAGTTCTGTGAAGGGATATATGCACTGTACTTCACTTTTATTAATATTGTATTCTGAAAAGCGTATATTACAGCACGATTTTTTGTTGAATAGATTTGAGTGCTTCAAAATGTTGGGTCCCGATGTATTGACCAAGTAAAAAGTGGGTCCCGAGGCCTGACCAGTTGAGAACCACTGTTTTAGATGGTAGTAGGCTGATCTGTTGATTGCTTTGATGTGGCTGTTAAAATTGAGGTCAGAGTCTAAAATGATACCTAGGTTTCTTGCTTGACTTTCGGGTTCGAGTGATAGTGATTCCAGATGTGCAGAGACTTTAACTCTCTCTTCTTTGGTTCCAAAAACAACTACTTTGTTTGTTTTCGTATTGAGCTGGAAGAAATTACGGCACATCCAGTCGTGTATTTGTTTTATACATGTGATCAATAAATCAGTAGGACCGTATTCATCTATAGAAAGTGATATGTAGATTTAGGTGTCATCCGCGTAAATAAGATATGAAATGTTGCTATTTTTAATTATTTGAGCAAGTGGCAGCATGTACAAGTTGAATATTTACCTGAGTTTGTTTCTGAGCGTCCTCGCTCGCCCGGAGGTAACGCTTCGTGGATTCTTCGTCCATCATCTGAAAACAAAATCCACATATTTATTAAAGTAATAATAATAACAATTAGTTAAAAGGTTAAAAAATACAATAAAATAAAAAATATATATAATAATAATTTATTATATTATTATAAGTATTAAAGATTTTATATTTTTGCACTTTTCTGAAGCATGTTTATTTTAATAAATATTTTTTAATAATGTTTTAATTAAATGATCACCATGTTTCCATCACTTTTATGTTTTTTATTTTAATATTTTGTATGGATATTCTGTTGTTTAGAGCACAGTGCCGCCCCCTGCTGGAGAAAAGGTTGAACTGCAGTTCAGACCTCCTTTGAGTGCAGGAGTTTATTTTTCATTTTTGTATCTTACACTCATTAAAAAACACACTTTACCAATTAGTTTGATAACTCATAACTTTACTTAAAATGATTATGTGTTTTTTGGGCAACTTTTATTAATTGCTCTTTTACAATTTAAGATTTTAAAATATGTTTTCCTTTTTAATTTAGTCCCACTTATGCATTTATATTACATAAATGTATTTATAAATATGTGTATTATTGGCCACCATATGCCTTTAGAGTCTGTTATATTATTAAATATTTTTAGGACAAATAAATCTGGATTTTCTATATTTTGCATTTGGTGTCGCCATCTGGTGGTGAACAGTGAGACTGCGGTTCAAACCTCTTTTGGCTCCCAGAGTAAATTATATTTGTTGTCTTGCAAAAATGTATTATAACTCAACTACTTAACTTAAGTTGCTATATTGTGCAGCTTGAGGGAAATTAAATCTAAAAACATTTTTAATGCAACTCGGTGTAACATTTTAATCGAGAGGAAAAAAGTGTATTTTTTTAATTTTTTATATTTTTGTATTATTGAGATTTGACGATGCAACATCTATTTTATTAATGTTTTAGCATTTTTAAGACCTTTTAACAATTAATTTAGACATTGTTATTTCCCTGTTCTTTAATTCATGTTGCCCGTCTAGATGACTGAACCACATGTATGGTTTCTCCTTAATAAATTCCAAACTACATTATTTCCAGGAAACATTAACACATATATCTGTTTAATATTAACGTATGTACATAATAGCAACATATAAGGATATATACATATAATTATAATTGTTTTAATACTAAATACATCTATTTTAGGTTTTTTGTTTGCAGGAAATGCATATAGGTCTGAACAAATACACAATTTAATAGACCATAGAAATTCACAGGAAATAATTTTTAAATGTTTATTAACCTCTTAAATAAATTATAATATATAAATAAAAGTCATTTATGATTAGTTCAATATTTATAATTTACCAAAATCATTTGACTAAAACAAGATATCAGTACACATTTTAATAACATTCATAAATTAAATCCAGTCTTACCTTGGCTGTGTGTTTCAGGAACAACGAGGAAAAACGAGTGACAGCTGAGTCAAAGGGAAACAGCTGCTTTTAAACAAACACACACACACACACACACACACACACACACACACACACACACACACACACACACACACACACACACACACACACACACACACACACACACACACACACACACACACAGAGTAAAGCCTGGCATTATGGGAACACAGGTTGCTGCTAATGCCAGTCTGTGACACACACACACACGTCTTATTATAATGGTAAGTGTGTAAGTAATAGCAGGTGTGTGTCTGTGTGTGCGTACATGTGACAGCTTTGTTCCTCACACACACTAACAGCTGATTAACGCCTCGCACACAATGACAACGTATAATTACAATTATTATTACAGATTTCACTTTACGCAGAGGAAGTGTGTCACTAAGACGTACTGCGTGTGTGTGTGTGTGTGTGTGTGTGTGTGTGTGTGTGTGTGTGTGTGGGCAAAATAATGTCTAAAAAAACGTCTTATTTTTTTATATATATAATAAATAAGTTAATGCACATCTAGAAATAAAATCCGTGATTTCTTTCCAAGAGTCTGAAAGTAGACATGTTGTTATGGCTAAAAAGGAATTTTCAAACTTATTTTGGGACGATAGGAAGTGGAAACATTCTGCACACAGACTGTGAGTCAAACACACACACACAATCACACACACACAGGTGGCAGAGTGTGTGGAGAGTCTTTATTGGTGGGAAACACGGTGATACAAAGGAAATATTTCACGTGTTACACAAAAAAAACATTAAAAGGCTACATTTAATTTAAATCCAGATCATTAAAGAATAATAACACACACACACGCACACACACACACACACACACACACACACACACACACACACACACACACACACACACACACACACACACACACACACACACACACACACACACACACACACACACACACACACACACACACACACACACACACACACAGCATGACATACAAAAAGCTGTAGAAAAATACTCTTAAAAAACGCAGAAAACAAACAAACACTGGAATGTTCTGGATGTCCGACAGACGTCAGCGTGGAGGAAACACCGGCAACTTGTTGAACAACAATGAAATGTTATGTTAAAATGAACAGAATCTTTTTTTCAAAATAATTCAAAATATAATGTAAAAGATATTCAGAAATGTATAAAGAATGTTGGAAAGATTCCCAGATAATTATTGAAAAATATCCAAAATATATGTGAATAAATATCCAGATTTACAATCTGGCCTGGAAGTATGGTATTATCGAGACAGCTATTAAACTATATTTACTGACATTCATCCACAGAAATGTTTTGGACATTTTTCAATTCATTTCCATGAATCTTTGTAATGTAAAATGTCCGGACGTTTTTTTTTAAAACTAACCTAATTTTTATATTTGACAAATATATAAATAAATGTTATAACAATATCAGATATCTGTAAATTATTTTATCAATTTTTTTATTAATCTAAATGGAACATTTCCCCAAAAATGTGAATGAATGGAGGCAAATGTGAAAACTCCATACATTTTGTTAAAACGTTTGAAGAGTTAAAAGTTGCCGGTGTGTGTAGAAGCAAATGAATGTCTGTCACACACACACACACACACACACACACACACACACACACACACACACACACACACACACACACACACACACACACACACACACACACACACACACACACACACACACACACACACACACACACGAACAGTACGACACCTTACAGCTAACATGTTTTTTTTTTTTTTTACTGCTCAGTCTACGTACAGGCACTATAGAGTGAAGCATTGTGGGAAGTTGAGTTTCAACTGGTCTGTTTTAAGATAGCAGCTTTTCATTCAACGTTTAAAGTCTGAACGTTGATTTAAAGATTTAAACACTCAAAGCAGACGATCGGACAATGGAAATAAAGTGTGTGTTTACGTACACCACACACACACACACACACACACACACACACTCACACACACACTCACACAACATTAATGTAATAACTACATATTCCCGTTTTGTTTAAATCAACAGGAAGTCTCTGAGTTAATCTGCCACTAAACTACGATTAAAATGTAGTGACGAGTTAAATGTATAAGAATTGTTATAACCATTGCTGAATACAAAAGGTTTCTTCACCCCTAATTATCATGAAATTAAAACCAGCAGCACATCCGACATTTTTTAAATGTTGAAGTTTAAATACCGTGAGTTTATTTTACTTTTAAAATATTTTTCTGGATTTATGAGATGTTTTTGTTCTTTGAGAAATTCCAGTTGGTGGAAATGTAACTACATTTTTTGACACCATATTGTACGACTTAAAGATTATTACTGTTTCACATTTTGCTAAACTTTTTGTATTTCCGTTCCGTTAGAATTTTTTCAAATATTTATATCTTTTGAAAAACTGACAAGTCTTTAAAAAAAAATTGGGGGACATTTCAAATGTGTCCCCCCCCCAGATAATCTATGCAGGCGTCTTTACAAAACAATTATCCTTAAAAATTAATAATATTGGAAACTAAACCTACATTCTAAATATTTGACGCTTCAAATCTAAAAAAAAGTGGAATTCAATCCACATTCTTTTGGATGATTTTGGATGATCTTATGAAGTAAGATATCTCAATGCTAAAAGCGAATTGAAAAGTCAGCGTTAGGTTTCCAGCAGCGGTTACACTTCATTAAAGGTCAGATCCTCACAAACCCTGAAGAGATCAAATGTGTTTTTAGCGTTAAGTTTGGCGTCTACTTGCTAGCTAACTAGTTAGCATCGGTAATAGGAGTTTACACTGCAGTTATAACCCAATATGTATAAATGTTAATTTGAATGAATTTCTTATTTTATAGCTACTTAACTGAATATCATTTTATTTGTATCTTTAATTTTGTTAATCTGTGTGAATCTTTGCTGTCCTGTTTTTCATTCTCACCCTGTTGCTGTCCATCTTATCTGATCTTAGTTAGCATGTGAGGCTAACAGTATAGATATAGGCACAGGTGGGTGTGTGTGTGTGTGTGTGTGTGTGTGTGTGTGTGTGTGTGTGTGTGTGTGTGTGTGTGTGTGTGTGTGTGTGTTTGTGTGTGTGTGTGTGTCAGTCGCTCAGGTACGTGTGTGTGTAGATCTGCTGTTGGATCCAGGAGGTGAAGTGTGTGACGTTGCTGTAGACTCCGGGTCCGAGAACTTTACTGAAGCAGACGCTGCCCCAGGAGGTCAGACCGAAGAGCGTCCAGCGACCGGAGGAGTCCGAACACACCAGGGGGCCGCCGCTGTCTCCCTGAACACACACACACACACACATTTTTATTGACTTTAAGGTCGAGTTAAACTTGACTTAAAAACAAGTTGAATTAAATTTGACTTAATCTTTTTTCTTTTTTTTTACTTAAAGGTGGGGTAGGTAAGTTTGAGAAACCGGCTCGAGATCGCTAAAATTTGAAAATACACAGCCGGAAAAAATCTCCCACTTCCTTACAAAGCCCCTCCTCCAACACACACGAACGCGCACATGACCAATGAGGGCACCAGATAAGTTTGTGCACAGATGGAAGGCTGACAGGCAGGTAGGCCATCCAGTTATTTTAGCCGGGCCGGCTCAGATGATTGGTCGTGCTTTTTACAGTACCACAGCTTCCACAGATGATATTTCTTTATGGATTTGTTGTCAAAGCACTTCAGATATTCATTGCTATCAGGATGTTAAGAGCATTCCATGGAATATAACAACAAGTGTATCTCGAGCCGGTTTCTCAAACTTACCTACCCCACCTTTAATCTTTTTTTTTTTTTTTAATTGGCCGAAAAATAAATTATGCTTTTGCTATTGTATTTTTCAAAAAAATTCTCGACTTAAATACAACTTTCTTTCCGCAAAATATTCTGACTTTTTATTCCTCTAAAATGTTTAATAATTATTTCCTGCAGACGTTACCATGCAGGAGTCGACGGTCCCCGCTTCGTATCCGGCGCAAAGCATTCTGGGAGTTATAGTCTTCATATCGAAGTAGGACTGACACTGAGAGAGAGAAATGATCCGGACCTCACCCTCCTGCAGCTTGAAGGGCACTAAACACACACACACACACACACACACACACACACACACACACACACACACACACACACACACACACACACACACACACACACACACACACACGTTAAATACATTTACATAAGTGTGTGTGTGTGTGTGTGTGTGTGTGTGTGTGTGTGTGTGTGTGTGTGTGTGTGTGTGTGTGTGTGTGTGTGTGTGTGTGTGTGTGTGTGTGTGTCTCACTCCTGTTTCCCATGTGTCCCCAGCCGGTGATGAAACAGTAGGAATCAGGAAGAGGAAGTTGAGAAGCGTCGGGGAGACAAACCGGCCGCACGAACTCCGTCTCCTCGATCTGAGGAAATATTAAAAAAGGAGCTGTATATATATAATGTGTATTTTCCACACTTTTTTAATGCTGTTTTATTTCTATTTTGCGATGTTTACATTTTGGGTTGTTTATTTCTAGTCTTTTGATTTCACTAATGTTCAATGCCTTGTCTTTTAAAGCTGCAACGCAAACATTTATCACATTGGGATCAATAAAGTACTTCTTATCTTATCTAACATGTTGATGCTAAGCTAACGGTTTCCCCTGATGATGATAATAATAATAAATAGATATTAGAAGCTGGTTTCTGACCTCGGAGTCGAGCTGCACGACGCTGATATCGTAATCGACGACGGCCCGGTTGTATCGGGGGTGAACGACGATGGATTTCACTCCTCGAGTCTGGCTGTTTCCCCCGGGGTGATCCAGGTTATTCAGACCCAGCACCACCTTCCACAGATCAGCCCCCTCCCTCCTGGAGGATATAAAACATTCAGAATATGATTATTAAGTCTTTAAAATGTCCCAAAAAATATAGAGAAAACTGTGCATTAATTTAGTTATTGCATTTGTCATTAAATGTGGTCCTTAATATGTCAACAAGCCATTGTAAATAAATAAAAAGGTCAAAAGTGTTTAAATGTTTAGGAATTAAGCCTTTAAAATGAAAACAATTCATTTCAAAATGTACAAACATTACTATAAATCTTTCAAATGTGCACACTTTTCAAATAAAACGTAACATTTGCATAAATTAAATCCTTAACATTTTTAAATATATTGTGTATTTATCATGAATTTCATCCATAAAACTGGTCTTTAAATTTGATCAAAATGTCAAAAAAAGCCCTTAAATTAAAAGTTAATTTGGAAAATGTCAAGAAAATTGTAATAATCAATTAAGTGCTGAAAATGTAAAAAAAAGATATGTTTTAATATCCATAAATGTATTCCAGAAAATGCCCCAAAAATAGCCACATTTCCATAAATCTTGTTCTTAAAATGTTATAAAAAAAGTAAAAAATATCCATGAATGTTTTCTTAAAGTCCACAAAATGTCAAAAAAAAAATATTCCCAGAGTTAATAAGACATTTTGTTTTTAAGAACCAGAAGATATATCATTATTTTATTATATTTATATTATCTTTTTGCGATATAAAACCAGTCCTCACCCCTCGAAGCCCATAAACGTTTTCTTAAAGGTCATAAAAAGGCAAAAAATAAGAATTTCCAGACTGAATAAGAAGCAGAAGATATATTATAAGTTATAATTATTTTTATTATATTTAGTCCTCACCCCTCGAAGCAGTGAGCGACGGTTAACGCCCAGCGGCGTCCAATCAGAACGCAGCCACAGACGTGTCCGCTCGGGCCGCTCTGCAGCGAGCACTGCCAAGGCCACGCCCCCTTTCTGGAGACTCGACCTCCCAGAATCCTCTTCTGTCGGGAGACTACATCTCCCAGAATCCTCTTCTGCCGGAGGGCGGGCAGGCCGGCCGCCGGGCGACGCCCACATTCTGACAGAGAGAGACAGGAAGTTAATGTGTGCACTAAATGACACGTTTAATGACTTTTTAAAACATGTCAAAGGAAAATATGACATAATTATTGCAGTAAAATTAAATCTGCAATTAAATTACAGGTTTACGTTAAATTAAATACATGAATAAAAACAGTAAATAAAGTTCACCTTCTCGGGAGCAAAGCACTGACACTCTCCTCCGGGAATGACACGCATGACTGCCAGAAAAAGAGACGTTTATATAATAATAATAATTTAAATAGTAAGACAAAAATAAATTAATAATCTTTAAAATAAATAAAGACAATAATATTGGCAAATAAAATACAAATATTATAAATAATGAAAAATTACTTTTAAATATGATAATAAAAAAGGAATAATACAAAATATTAATAATACAAAAAATCTCATACAATTATTTGTATTTTTATAAATTAATAAATTAGTTTCTACGTGTACATTTTCTATTTGTTTTTTCTCACATAAAATAAATTCATAATTAAATATTCAAAATAACTTTTTCATACATTTTTTATTATAGTCTCTGTTGGATTTTTATAAATTATTATTTAGGTTTTAATTACGTTTTGTTAATCAAAAATGTACCGTTAAAATCACATAAATTATTTAATATATTTTCTTAATGTAAATATAAACGTCCCCCCGGTCGGTCCTCTTCTCCATTTATTGATTTGTTTTTCCTGTTAATTTACTAATCACAAAGAATATTCAAAAGTTTTGTATTATTATTAAATCAAGTTTGATATATTCTGTGTCACCTCCTCTTCTCCAGCCGGCCCTGCAGAGCCGTTCCTCTCTCTCTTCTCTCCGGATGAACGTGAAGCCAGCGCCGCCGCCCGGTCACCAGCTG